GAAGCGACGGAATCAATATGAATCAATTAATCGATGTATCATTACACGCCTGATCATTAGCCTCCACAGACATCTCGGGGTTTTCCCTCCTGCATCCAAAATTATAACGAAACAAATTGAGTTCGGAGGTAAGCAATCTGCTCTCGGGACAGATTGATAACAGTATAACGACCGAACAGATTTACCAATTCCACCCTGCTTTCCCACCTCACCGAGATTGTATAAATTGGCACATTTCCGAGTCATAATTTGATTTAGGAATGTGGTTTTTATTTGCCGTGTGTCTACGTTCCGTTTTTATTTGTTTGTCTCTCTCTCTCTCGTATATTATTGCGTTTGTTCCGTCTCATTGAAATAAAGGTTTCAAAGGTAAAATTTGCACAGAAAATTGCCTTGTAATGGCATGCAAAGAGTCGGTATTTCTTTTTAAACGCACCGTTCGATGCGTGCATCATCTATTGTGAAAGTAATAGCTCATGTTCATCGATAAAAACCGATTCATTAATTATTACACACCTAACATCTGGGGCTTAATTCTTCTCGTTGAATAGTTTCTGGCCCGCCGGTCGAGACTGCGATAGGCACGCGGATTCGTAGCCAGCAACCCCATGAGGCCGAGGTTCAAGTTCAAAGTTCATTTATTAGTATTCTTAGGTTTTTTCGGTAAAGTCACGTAGGTAAACGTGATACAGCTGTCGTGGCTGTGACGGTTCCACCTGAAAACGGAAGCTTGTGTTGCCTCCGAAACGTCGTGATTTTTATTTTATTTTACTTTTATCAACTTAATTTTTTACCTCCGTGACTTTACCGAAAAAACCTAAGAATATGAATCCTTGCAGTCACGAAAGCTTCAAATTTAGAATTCATTTATTAGGTATAGCCCTGTGAGCCATTCGGCTATTGAATCGGGTGCAACCGCAATAAACAAAAACATGAACAAGAATACATCTTATAGTGACTATGTGCAAACGGAAAATCCAAGAAAAGACAGCAAAATATTGCAGAAAAATCACCGTACACCAACACTGTGTGCAAAAATCTCAGTGGGATGCAAGTCAAACAACAACAACCACAAGGCAACTTAGATTAAGGCCATCAGTCTAATTCTGTACTACAATAAACAAACATGGCCAAACCAAAAAAACTTTTCGAAAATCCCCAAAAATAAAGCCATAAACCAATGAAACAGTGATCATAGGAACTGTGACCGAATTTTCACAATAAACGACGTAAACAACATGTACTACCAAACTCTGCAGCCATAGCTGGCTGCATGAGTCACTCCACAACAGTAGGAGCATCATTCGGAGTATCAACATTTTTCAATGCACCTTTAAGATCAGGTCGACTGCATGGCACGTGTTGGGTATCTTCTGGGTCACCGCCACGGACTGACGCCTCCGGCTGAAACGAAACCCGCGCTAACATCGCAGGGCTGCGAGGGATGGCGACGGCTTGGGGGAGGCCCTCATCCAGCAGTGGATTGACCAAGGCCGGTGTTAATCATCAATATCCAACATTAAACACAAATATATATATCTTGTTATGAGTCCTGAGCGAACGTCATTCATTGATGTCCCGAGCGAACGTCATTCATTGATGTCCTGAGCTAACATCATTCACTTGCTTGCTGAAAAAAAATTGCGATTATGATCATCAAGCTGACAAATCAAACGCAGGTCGGTAAAACGTATATGACTTTAGAACATTCGCAGCAGCAACAACAACAACAGCGAAGCGAGTTATCTTTACAGCGACGTGGCAAGACGGTCTCGGACGTGACATTGGTTCCTAAGTGAGAAAGCCCAGGGTACTATCCCCCCCCCATCTCCACACTCGCCACCGTCTCCCCCGTGCCAGCGACACCCAGGTGGGACATGTCGATGGTGGTGGGAGGGGGGGCGAGCGAGGGAGGTGGCACCTGGGTGAGAAGAAACTCGAGACAGCTTCACCGATTCTAGATTTGAAGTTGTCGTGACTGCAAAGATCCATAACTCTTTGGTTCTTTCGGTAAAGTCACGTAGGTGACTTTAAAAAAAAAAACTTTTTATTCTAATTTTTTATTTTTTCACATACGTGACTTTACCGAAAGAATCAAATAGTAGCTTCGCCGATGTTGGGTTTGAGACGGAGTCGTCGGTCGGAGGCTTTCCGCGACCAATGTTATACGTAATAAAAGTAGTTTTTTGAGGGGGGGAGGGGCGGGGTTTGATCGCGTGAATATAAATGTGTCGTGAAACCCGCCACCACCCGACACGGCCAATTGGTGAGGTCTGTCACGCAAACGAAACGCGCCAATTAGTTACTACTTCAGCACACACCGGTGCGTTGCAGAGTAAACACACAACAGTTTCAATTCGAGTACGACGTTCGAGTGTGGCCATAGCCAGTTCTGGCTATCGCCTGATGATGCTGGTTGATGTTGTTGTTGTTATCAGCCAGCGTAAATATCGTGGGTTTACTCTCCAACACAGCGGTGTGCCGAACTAGCAACTGTTTGGCACGTTTTTGTTAACGTGAAACACCTTGCTAAGTGGCTGTGTCGGGTGGTGGCAGGTTTAACGACACAGCATTTATATTTGAACGATCTAATCCCAAAAAAAACATCTTTTATTATGGATTTGTGAGGAGGCTATCGATAGCTGCACGGGCATCGTAGTCCGAGCGGTTGTTTGCTATCAGCTCGACACTGAAGTTTACTTTTTTCAGCTCTAGATTTGAAGCTTTCGTGACTGCAAGGATTCATATTCCTAGGTTTTTTTCGGTAAAGTCACGTAGGTAAAACATTTTTAATTAAAATTCATAAAAGTAAAATAAAAAATTTACCTACGTGACTTTACCGAAAAAAACCTAAGAATATTCATTCAGCTCATTTGATCTCCAGGCGCGGCAGTTGACAAAACTGTGCAGGGTTTTTTTTTGTTAATCCGCCCACCTCCCCCGACCCAAAGCTTCAATCCTGTACACATTTGGTGGAGCACATTCAGTCGATCGGCAGATCGCATGTGGACGGACGAAGTGCGCATGCGTGTTGACTTCTTTCGCACCGTGCGTAGCCAACCGTGCTAAATCACAGGTGCGGGAGTGTGTGTACTCCCACCGCCTGCATGCAGTGGGCAGAGCCGTTCCGTAGGGTACACGGTGAATCGGGGTGACTGACCCGGGCCCTGCGCTTTGGGGAGGCCCCCCTGGGCTTTGACGTCACGGTGTCAGATGATGCCATGCTTCCGTTCAAACATCTTGCCGTGACTGACACGGCACTGAGAAGCCTCTATCGAGCAGTGGATTGGTTTCACGATCGATCGTTAGTGCCGCATTGCACGCGCGTTACAGGGTTGTTATTAGAATTGACTTTAACAATGGAATTAACATATTTTAATTGTTTCATCTGTAAGGTAATATTGTACCTATTATCTCTATCACTATCAATGTCTCTCCATCCTTTTAAGGTGACATTTAAAAATGGTCAGAATAATTGACCGAATTGAGACGAAACATAATTGCTGAGTGTTCAAAGAGCTATCTTTCTTTAATCCTAAATTCATTTCAAAAGGTTAATTCATGCGTGCCTTAATATTCATGGAAGTATGAACATTTGTTGAATTAAATTAAAGAAAAACCCAAAGTGTGATGTGAAAATAAATGTGTCCTGACTTCTGTGCTACCCTATATAAGCAATCAGCGCTGGGGTGATAATGTTACAGCCACCCCCGGCACAAATGGGACGCCAAGGTGGCTAGGAGATGTTAACTCCCTCGCCTGGTATGCAGGAGGTCATGGGTTCGATCCCGACCCTGACGCCTGCTGCTGCTGTATATTTGGAGTTTGCGTGTCTCTCTCGACCCGTGGTCACGTGGATTTTTCTCCGGGTCTTCCGTTAACCCCCCCCCCCCCTCCACATTTAGAATCAATGTCACGCGTTCAGAGTATTTGGCCGCATAAATTTCCACATGATGATAAGCCACTTCGTTGGCCTATCATTTGTGGCCAGGTCGCTTCTGAAAATAAGTAAACAAGTAGCTTTAGTTTGCGTCGTTCTCACGACAGCGATGCAAAGCGTGGCTCTGTGCCAGGGAGGCGAGAGAGAGAGTCTGGACCGAGATAATGAAAATATATTAACTTCTCACACTGCACTCTCACACTGCAGTGAAAAATCCACTTGCCGTCGTCATAATAATAATGTCGTGACTGATCATTATAATTACATCGGAATTGCCTCCTGCTGTCTTAAGAAAACAGGGATAAGAATACAAACCTCCTTCATCGAATCTCGTGTGAGAGTTTTATTCATTTTTTTTTGCAATTTCATCCAACACCGTCATATGCGCCCCGATGTTAGCGACTTTTGACAGCTCTGCCCGTCACCTCGGAGGAGGCGACACCCAGGGCAGGCTGAGCGAGAGACGGAGAGAGAGAAGAATGGAGAATCGCCCCACACCAGCAGGGCACAGGCGCGAGCGTGACACGCTTCATTGTTTATCACACAATGGTCAATGTGATCGAATGCAACCGTTACACACAGACAAAAAAAAGCACAGGGCACGGGCAATATCGATCAACTTCACTGGAGTTTGGTAAAGTACTCGGTGCGATTACATCGCTGGCGAGGATCTGGAGATAGTGGCGGTGGTGGTGGTCGACTCAGCCTCAAATGAGTCCCGGTGACGATTATCGGAACCAGTCCTGAGCCTCCCCTAGGTCGACTCAGCCTCAAATAAGTACCTGGTGCGGTGTGTAACCATCGCCACTGGGGAGACAAATGCAACCCGTGCGGCGTGCCGGCCTCCTTCATGAGGTACGACTCGCTCGCAGCACTTGCCCTCCTCAACCCTCACCTTGTCTGTCGAGGCTACACGGGGGGGGGGGAGGATCTTTGTCTTGGGTGGCGGTGGTGGGGCTGGCGAGGAGGGGACAGCGGTGAAGGCGGTGGCCTCTGTGGAACGAGAGGGGGTGGTGGCGTGGGGATGATCGCTGTGTGAAGGCTTTAAGCGAGCGAGGAGAGAGGGTGGGAGGGGAGAGGGGTTATTCCCCAGAGTCAGCGCTTGGCTGCAGGCAGTCGCGGCCCGCCAGGTCAGCCAGGGGCACCGAGCGAGTCGCTGCTGAAGCAACATGGCACAGCCACGAGTGAAGACGCTGCTGCTGCTGCTGGGATCGGCGCTGTGCCTGAGTGTCGCGTTCCTCGGCCGCCCATGCGCCGCCGGCTTCATGGACCATCTCTCCAAAACCAAGTTCTGTGCCGACAAGGAATGTACCTGTGAGTAGGAAAGAGATTATCTATGATGATGATGGGTGGTGGGTGGTGGTGATGATTTCGTTTGTTTGTTCGGCTTGATTGATAAGGGCATTTGCTGTGCTCCAAATTGATCTCTCTCTGCTCAAATGATGATAACTGGACACGCGTTCTTCTCCTGTTCGTGGTCCTAAGCCATTAGTGGAAATTCCATATTCCCATGGTATGGGCCAGTTTTTGTAGGACACTCTGGGTCACCAATGCGGTTGAGCACCGCCCAGCCGACTCAAGATTTGAGTAAAAAAAGTTTGCTTGACAACGAGAGCGATGCCACGATACAATTTGGATTAATATCGCATCTAAATATAACAACTAAATGCAAGCGGATCTCAAGACAGTGCAGAGGACAGTGTTGAATATCTATTTTATAGAGACAAAGAGGCCAGTCGGTTACAGGCAGAGTCAAGAAAAAAAAAGATCTTGAAGCTTGGATTTGTACAGGGGGCAGCACAGAGGACTCTGGGAAGAGACAATTCCAGACTAAGTGGGGCAGCAGAAGAGAAGGAGCGAGCTCCCACTGAACAAAGGTTGTCTGTGGGCTTCGACAGAAAGCCTCGGTTGCAGGAGAGACAAATACGTGCGGGGTAGTGGATAGATATGAGAGGGGGTAACAGAGAGGTAACCAAACTGTTAACTCTTTTTTATTTTACCAGATAAGGCCAATTGAGCTCAGAAACGACCTGGCCACAAATGATAGCTCAACAAAGTGGCTTGTCACGTGGACATTTATAGCAGCAGACAAACACTCTAGACCAGCGGCTCTTCACCTTTACTGCAGCCTTGCACCCCTTGGGTTCTCAAGTAGTTGTACTCATGTGCCCGTGCTTAATGTGTTTTCGATTCTGGCATGTCTCGCGCCCCCACAAAGGGCACTTCGCACCCCCAGGGGGTGCTTGCACCCCAGGCTAAGAGCCACTGCTCCAAGCGCGCGTTGATTCGAAATGTGGAGTATAAACAAACATCGGAGGACCCGGAGAAAAATCCACGCGACCTCGACGGGGAAGAGAGAGGGAACACGCAAACTCCAAATATACAACAGGCGTCGGGGTCGAACTCAGGCAACTCGTGCACGCTCAGGCGAGCAGGGGTGAGTCCACGGTGGGGTCGTGGCAGTGCCTGGAATATTCTGAGTCTGGGAACACGAGGCCGTACGGGAAGGGAGCTGTAGGCGTGGGGTGAGTGTCTACGTGGCACCAGCAGCAGCAGCTGCTGTTGTTGTTGTTGCCGCTGCTGCTGCTATCGTGAGAAACACAACGGAGAGACGACGCCGATTACCATACGCCTTGTTGACGCCACCAATATGAAAGTCATGAAGCATTCATCATCATTAGCAACCTCGCATGCAGCTGCGCAATTAACAGACCGCTAACACGATTGCATCAATTAGCAATACTTTTCCGTGACTTTAAAGCAGTGGGTAGTGCAAATTATAATTGTTTTTTACTGTGACCGATTAAAGTTCCCGTACGCAAGTCACGAGCGCGTAAAGAGCCATCGACTCTCCACGTCGCCTGTCAGTGGAAGAGCTGCGAGCGAGTGTTGAGTCCCGGTGACGTGAAGGGCAAGGCACGCACAAGGGCCATGGCGAGACGCGCGCTTGGAATTACACTGGGAGACGGCAAGAGGAGCACATGGAGCAGACAACACACACGGCTCAGCGGCATCACTCACAACGCGGTGGCTAGGAGATGTTAACTACCTCGCCTGGTATTCAGGAGGTCGTGGGGTCCGATCCCGACCCTGACGCCTGCTGTGTATTTGGAGTTTGCGTGTCTCTCTCTCTCTCCCCGTAGTCGCGTGGATTTTTCTCCGGGTCCTCCGGGTTTTCACTCCACATTTAGAATCAACGTCACGCGTTTAGAGTTTTTGGCTGCTATAAATGTCCACGTGATGATGAGCCCACTTCGTTGAGCTATCAATTGTGGCCAGATCGCTTCTAAGAAATAGCTACGTAGCTCAGTGGGCCTTACCTGGTAAAATAAAATAAAAGCATGTTTTTAGTTTCGAGTAGGCCTGGGCAGGACGCGACACTGCTCGAGAAGGGTTGACAGTCGACAGTCAAGAATGTCTGTGTGTCTGTTGAACCTCTTTCGCACCATGCGTACCCAACCGTGCTCATCGGAGCTGCGGGTAAAGATGTGCGTCATCGCGGACGTGAATAAAAAATAAAGAACGAACACGGACAGACGAGCCTTGTACTCTCGTGCTAGTTGCCTTGACGTTGATCATTCTCAGCACCAGGCCAGCCCGAGCAGCATTCCGGCGAACGCCGAGTGAGATAGTAGAACTTGCATCTTGAATCCCTGCCTCACTTGATGCAGCAAATCTGGCTGTGACGGTCCCACCTGATGACGGAGACTTGTGTTGCCTCCGAAACGTCGTGATTTTTATTATTTTATTTTTATTAATTGTAATTTCATTTTTTTACCTACGTGACTTTACCGAAAGAACTAAGAGTATGAGATAGTAAGCCCCTGAGTTCGCGAGACACCGAGGTGCAGGGTTGCGCATGCAACACGTGCGCGCGATCCTTCAGTAGATTCAGTCACGACGCATCAACGGCCGCTCACTTACCGCTCCTGCTACAGCTGCTATCTTTTTTTTCTAGATTTGAAGCTTTCGTGACTGCAAGGATTCATATTCTTAGGTTTTTTTCGGTAAAGTCACGTAAGTGAAAAATTTTAATTCATAAAAGTAAAATATTAAATAAAAAGCACGACGTTTCGGAGGCAACACAAGCTTCCATCTTCAGGTGGAAACGTCACAGCACGATAGCTGTATCAAGTGAGAGAAATTCCAAGAAAACAGTCCTTGTATATATACCGTCGTCTTTCTGCTGCCCCCCCCCCCGCCACCACATCTTCTTGCAGACGTCATCTCGATGGGCCAAGCCACTGGAGACTACTCGGCTCCCGACTGCAGGTTCATCAGCTTCAAGAGCGGCCAAAGCATCTTCATCTACTCCAAACTGAAGCCCTACGACGGCGAGGAGTACTGGCTGGGCAGCGTGAGCGACCCCAACAACCTGCCGTGGCCTCGCGCCCTCCTCTGCCCGAACGCAGTTCACTTCGATGTTTTTAAATCGCCACTCACGGTCGATCCATTATAGGGGACGAGTTGGGGTTGGGGTCGTCACGAGGATAACAACAGCGCGCACATTCCGGTTGAGGAGTTATCCGCGGGGTGACACGTTCCGAGATTTTAATCGAGGGGACGGTGGTGGCGGTGTTGGTGGTTGTGGTGGTTGTGGTGGGGGACTTCACCCAAACCACAATAAAAATTAACCCGTAAAAACAAAGTTTTTCACTATAAATCCTTTATATGCGTGTTCAATGGGCCACAACCCAGCCCACATTGGTCTTTGAAACGGGCGGCTAGAGTCCTCTCGTCCTCTGGCTTGAGATGGCTGCCACCTATGGGTCAGATGATTACCTGCCACCATTAAGCAATTGGTAATTAAAAATAAAATAAAAATTCCTAAAAAGTGTAAAATTTTGGAAATTTATTTTCACGAAAATAAATTGTCACGCACAACGAGTCTGTGTGTTAAATGTCAGCTCGATTGGATCACGGATCACAGGAAGTGGGTTAAAAAACGACCGAAAGATTTGCACGGTCGTAAGCGCGCAAGCAAGCAAGCAAACTTAATATAAAGATTTAAAAAATGGAGTCGAGGCGCTGGGCTGCGGAAAGTTTCGGGATCGACGGTGTGACCACTGTTTCATTGCTTTAATGGATTTATTTTGGTGATTTTCGATAAGTTTTTTGGTTTGGCCATGTTTGTTTGTTGTAGTACAGAGTTAGACTGATGGCCTTAATCTAAGTTGTCTTGTGGTTGTTGTTGTTTGACTTGCATCCCACTAGGATTTTTGCACATTTTTGTGTACGGTGATTTTTCTGCAATATTTTACTGTCTTTTCTTGGATTTTCTGTTTGCACTCAGTCACATATTCGCTTTAAGATGTTTTTGTTCATGTTTTTTTGTTTGTTGCGGTTGCACCCGATTCAAGAGCCGAATGGCTCACAGGGCTACACCTAATACATGAACTTGTGTGGGCAGGTCTACAACGCCCAGGACGTGGCTCAGATGGGGGTGCTGGGCTACTTCCCGAAGAGCATGATCGGCGATGTGCACGAGTTCGCGCCGGCCAAGATCAAGCTGCCGACCAACGTGAGTCGTGGACAATTCGCCACGGAGCCTCCCAGCCGGGTCGGACCAAGAAGGCCCCCAAAATCAAAATCCCGTACCTCGGCCACGCTCTACGTCGGACGAATTCGCCGACGCGAGACGCTTTTGACCTTCGTTCGGCTCTGTGAACCCAGCGGAGCTACGCTCGGCATTAGGCCCGTGGCTAACATCAGTTACATCACACAGTTGTCAATCCCTGACCAGTGCCATACCTTATTACAGACCAATTCAGACCTCATTGGTCATCCCGTGCCGTTATACATCTCAAAGTTCATCCTACAAAGTCCCATCACAAGGGAGAAACACAAACAAATAGATAACAAAAAATGCCCCTATTGAAACGGCTATACGCCGTATGGACCTGAAAACTCAATTTCCCTGCACAAGAATACGGGGTAAACCGTACGGGTTGACAGCTTTGGCATCATCTGGACCGTTTAAAGCCCCCCCCCTCCCACCGTCCCCCTCCCTGCCTCCCTCCTTCACCAACCAACGCTGACAAGCGTGGATTTGCGGGCAAACGCCTCCGCATGACTGTGGCCTTGCTCCATCCGGCAGTGGATCGAGAAAGGGCCCCGACATTTCAACGATCACCTCCGATTGGAGGCATCCACAACACGTATTCTTAGGTTTTTTCCGTAAAGTCACGTAGGTGACTTTACAGCAATCGTGCTGTGACGGTTCCTCCTGAAGACGGAAGTTTGTGTTGCCTCCGAAACGTCGTGATTTTAATTTTATTTTTTTACCTACGTGACTTTACCGTAAAAAACCCTAAGAATATGAATCCTTGCAGTCACGAAAGCTTCAAATCTAGAATCCATGACACGTTTTGCGCGTCCCGTTCAAACAAATCTCAGGCTGCCCCTGACGCGGTTGTATGGGCATGACGACCTGCATGTGAAACTGTAGCCGTGTTTCTCTGCATCGTCGACATCATCAGCCGTGCGAACGAAATAAGATTCAAAAGAATCGGCACTCTCGACGTCACGCAGCGCATCTTGAGACGATCTACTTTGTATTGGAACACAGAAGGTTTGTGAACGTGTGGATGCTTACGATGGTGAGCCCCGTGAGTTATACGGCATTCCAGAAGTTATCGTGTAGATCATTTTGTAGCGAGGAGCTGGGATTTGAGAGGTTAAGTTTAAATGTAAGTTTTTTTTTAACCCGGTGAGAACTCCAGAGACCAGGATAGTCTCATTTGCAGGAGTGAGTGGGTGGGTGATGAAGTGAGTGATTGAGCGAGTGGTTGAGTGGCAGGATGGATGGTTGAGTGAACTCAAGTTTCACGTTGTCGTTTCTTTAGCCGGGTGAGAGCGCACATAACCAAAACCAAGTCCCACTCGCAACGCTTTTGTGACGCGCATCTTTCTTGTTCCCAAACAGGACTTGGACTTTTACTGCGACTCTTAAAAATGGGAGAACACTGCACGGATGATTACCCCAAGAGGAAAAGCAGGAATTACAGCAAGTGCAGGAATTCCAGGAAAAGCAGGAATTCCAACAAGTCTCGAAGCTTATTTTGACAAGACCGAAATGTATGGGGCGATTGCTCGGCAAGCACTTCGTTTAACCTACCGTGCTTAGTGGCAATACTCATTATTGTAAAGCTTGCAATTGCTACTTTTGAAACGTACGTAAAATCATTTATTCTGATCCAAGACGGTGAATTTCGCGTTCGCTGAAATATTAAAATGGTTAAGAACAAAGAGATGTTTAAGAACAAAGATGGTTAAGTCCGAAGATGTGAAGAAATGGATGGGTTCTTATCACAACCATTCTGTCTCGCTGCCATATTTGATTAAAAACCAATTACGGTTTGCCAGAATGGCACACGTCCCGCGTTTGCTTTGATCGCGAATTTTAAATAAAATATTTTGCCTCGATTTATCGTGTATAATTAAAATATGAGCGGAGCTGTGGGTGCGGATGTACACACACACACACACGGAGCATATAGCTTTGTGTTTGCGTTCGCTTACGGCTTTCATCATCACATTTCATTTCTCTCTACCCGTTCGCACGTTAGCGTTGAACTTTACAAAAGAAACTGGGAATCCAGTGGTTTATATTTCAAAGAGCGGCACGTGTTCTTTGTCTAAGGATACAGGTGGATTTTCCGTATCGACACAAAAAAAACCCACCAGCGCCGTACTTTGTGTTGTCATCTCCATGAAGCCCTCTCCGAGATCTCGGTCCTTCTCTCTCCACCTTCGACCTCTGTCCGTTTCATCTTCTCGTCCTGACCTTTCCCGCTCTCTCTCTCACTCTGAACACTTTAAACTATTTTTTTGTTCTTTAATTTGACCAGGTAAGGCCCACTGAGCTACTACATAGCTCTCTATTTTTTTTAAATAGCCACCTGGGCCATCGCGACTGATGCGTTGTCTTTGTACCGATTGCCTTTTGGCGTTGGTCTCTGCTCTGACACCGGTGAGACGAGGCCCTAAAGAAGGTTGTCTCTGCTGTAGGCCAATCAGTTTCAAACACAATGCCATAGATGATCAGATAATGTTCATTTGCATGTTCACCACAAGCACGTGTGGTTAATGCGAACTTGATTTTGGTTTGCCTCGCCTCCTTATCACCTACCCTGTGCCCCACTACACGGAACGTCGACCGCGAACCGAATGCCCCCCCCTCTCTCTCTCGCCGAGCCTGCCGTGGACACGCTCTCCCCTCCTCCCCTCTCGATCAGCGGAAACTGTCCGATGGATTTTGGAAGAGACACGAAGCCGCCACCCCCCCCCCCCCCGACTCTTCGCCCACCCCTCCAAGCGCCTTCTCAAACGCAACATCTTTTTTTTTACTTTTAACCGAGCTGATCTCTTCAGCCTCTGGGTCGCTGCACTCGAGCGAGTAATAAGTATAACCCGTAAAAACAAAGTTTTTCACTCTAAATCCTTTATATGCGTGGCGGCTAGAGTCCTCTTGTCCTCTGGCTTGAGATGGCTGCCACCTATGGGTCAGATGATTGTCTGCAATATTAAACAATTGGTAATTAAATATTTTATTTGTTTTCCCGAACATTAATTGTCTCGCACAACGAGTCTGTGTGCAAAATGTCAGCTCGATTGGATCACGGGAAGTGGGTTAAAAAACGACCGAAAGGTTTGCACGGTCGTAAGCAAGCAAGCACGCAAGCACGCAAGCAAGCAAGCGAACTTAATATAAAGGATTTAAAAATTGTGCGCGTTACAAATTAGCATCATTATCATTCTTATTAAAGCCTTGAACGCCGCCGATCGAACAAGATCGATTATTTCCTTTTTTTCACCAGCTGCAAAACACGGCAGTGATTCAATTCCTCGAATTTCATCGGTGGCACACCGGACGCGTCTCGTGCCAGCATCGCCAGAACGAAGAAAGCTTCACACGATGATAACCAAACGTCAACGTTGAGGCTGGCCAAGTTGACGAGACGTTCCAAAGCCACCACTGGTATTTTAGGCTTTCCCGCAGGGAGCTCCCGACTCTGAGGTTAAGTCAAAATACAAAAAAGTGCACTTCGTCGACAACAACAATAAAAAAAAAGGTTTATATTGTGGCGTTTGAACATCTTGACACCTGTGTTGTTGCCAGAAAGGGTAAAACCCTATTCTTATTTTTTCAAACAATAAAAATAATAAACTTGGCTCATCTGCAATAGCTGCTCAAGGCTGTCACGAAGGGCGCTGTGTTTCACAGACGCGGTCTGCGGCAGTTTCGCTGTGTGTCATCAAAATCGAAAATATTTGTTTCCAATTTGGCAAAGTTGGACCATGACGGCGGCACACAGTGTGGCCGACTCTTGCGAATGTCGTCACGGCATCTTTGACGTCCTACAACCATAATAATAACAACCATATTTTATGGTTATAATGTTGTGGTTATTGGACCCACAGCATTGACCAGGGCGGCCTGCCGGGTTTGAACCGAGAACCTCTGCAACAAGCGGCGAACGCCGTGTAATCGTCTCCTCCACACCCCCTCAAAAAACACAATAGGTAAAGGTGCAGCCCTGCAATTGCTTCCAAATTCGGGGGCTGATAGCAGCGAGGGGAGTATACGAACCGGTCCTGCTCACACCACCCACCCGCATTGACCAGCGTGCATGTGTGTATGTATGTAGAACTTCTTTAGCACCGTACGTAGCCGATCGTGCTAATCAGAAGTGAAGTATGGTCGAACAACTCCCATGACCGTGACAAAAAGAGCTTCATAGCTCATTGGGTTTCGTCACGAACACATTCCTGCGGAGGGAGCTGGTAGGAACGTTGGGTTGCTCGGTCAATGGCCAGGGTCAACGGCGGCGTGGTGTATTCCGCAAATATGCCCGACTGTGAGGGCGGGCACAAGCCGGCGTGAGTAGGTTAAACGTTGAGTTTTATAAGGGCACCACGGGGTGACCAGCCCCTCCCCACCCAGCCCCACCCCTCCCACCCCCCACCCAGCCCCACCCTCCCCACCCAGCCCCTCCCCACCCTCCCTTCCCCACCCAGACCCACCCTCCCCACCCAGCCCCTCCCTACACGACGGACGGACGGACCTAATAATCCCCTGTGGGCTGGTGTAACCAGGTTCCTACCAGTATAAATATTCTGATTCTGGTTACGAAATACTGCTTCAATGAAACGTTCCTTGACTTCACTCATTGCATTTCGAACAAAAATTATTGTTCCAATCACCCAAAGCGTACGCTGGACTTCGCACGTGTGAGAGAGGCCTTCATCCAGTAGTGGATCGACAAAGGGCTGTACTGTACACACGAGGAGTATTTAAAATAATGGCATATCCTTGCCCAGTCTTCAACAAAGGGGCACCTCTGAACTGAAACTTTTTTTTTTTACGAGAGCATAGGCATAATTTGATTTCAGACGAAATCAATGCCTCTGACATTTCCCATCAGATGTGATGAATGAGACTTGGACACAATTTTGCGATCACCGTAATTCGTCAGTGGCATAGTATTTTTTTGTTACCACAGTCGAAGAAGCACGCGACGGCTTTTCATTCGTGCGAGCGTCAAAGTTCAATTTCAGCCTTGAGAATTGAGAAGGCAGAAATTAATTGAGAGCAAGGTGAGCCACGTTGTCGTCTACTCTTTAAGCAAATCAGTCACACACATTGTACACGCGGACGTTCACGGCATGCAGCGTTGCCGATACATTGAGCATCTATCACCAATTCCATCCTAATTATGCCATTTAGAGTCAATGTTATTGTTCTAGTCTTCCGTCATCCCTCGATCGATCCGAGGGGTGTGGCCGCATCACGGGCGATCCTTCGCCACTGACTTCCGTCTTCTGCTATCCTCGTTATTTTCCGGCGTGAGCCTCGTCCATGCCATGATGTTATCCATCCGCTGTCAACCTTTCGTCTTCCCTCGCGCACGTGACCCGGGTATTGTGCATGCTGCCAAAAAAGCACTCACACGTGCTCCGGTGTCAGTGCCGGATTATCGTCGTAGCACATGGAGCTACAAATGCTCAGAGCCCCGCACTTTCAAGGGCCCCGCGCTAAATGCGTTAAAGCTATCAATTCCAGTCCAGTAATTTTGCCCTAGCTCTATTACTATAGTGCTATACTGCCTTCAACTTTTATGAACGACTGGGTGTTTTAGGTTAGCGATGTGTCGTGTTATCTGGGCTGTATAGCAAATGAAAAAATCTAATTACTTTACTATGCAAGTTAAAATTGTATGCGTTTGAATATTAATGTTTGTTATTTAGGGCCCCTTTATATAACAAATGCTACAGGCCCCGCACTAGCTTAATCCGGCACGTGCTCCAGTCAATTCGCGACTCACAACTTGGTTACGGGCGTGGGTTCAGATCAGAGGTCGCAAACGGGTTTTGATTCCTTACCCGTACCCGGCCGCACCAGGATCGCAAATGGGTAACCGTACCCGGCCGGGTACGGGTACCCGTTCTCTACCCGTACCCGTACCCTACCCGAAATGAGTGACAAACGGTTACTCACCAGTGACTCACGGCCTACCCGTACCTGTACCCGGCCGCACCAGGGTCGCAAACGGCTACCCGTACCCGGCCGGGTGCGGGTAGCCGGGTATCGGGTAGGGTACGGGTATCGGGTACCAAGGTTGCGACCTCTGGTTCAGATCGCCCGAGTGGAATGTGTGTCGTACACCCTCCTCCACCCGACACAGCCCGGTGAATGAAGCCGTCACGTGACGAACGCACGCGCCAGCGTGTGACCGCTCCCGTCAGCACCCGGTGCTTTGTGGACAGCGATCCGCCAAGATTCGTAAAAAAAAAAACCCCGTTGTGGATTGCGGTGGGTGGGAACGTTGTGGAAAAGGCCCTACACGCACATTTCACTTGGGCAATCCGACCCCCGGCGCCGATCAATTCCGAATCGCATTGGTTTGCGAAATCCGACGCCGTTAAATCTATTGAATCGTCGTTAACTTCGCCCGCCTTCAGTAAGTGCCCTGGGTGAGCATGCTCCGTCTTGTTTCCAGCCACAAATATCGTCACTTGTTATAGCGGTCTGCTTGTCCGTGGCCTTCCTTTTGCTCAATTGTCCCGAGCCACGCCGTGCATCGTTCTCTCAGACTAAGCTCTTTAATAATTTCCCGCAGTACATTTCTATTGGTCGTTAGGTAGCATTCCCAGCAGCCTTTCATGATACAGCACACGTAGATTACCTTTAGTCAATCCACTGCTAGGATGCCGGCATCTATACGTCGTGCGGGTCCTGGGGGGTTGTTTGGCCATACTTCACCACACTGGTCAGTGCGGGTCTGGTGAAGTCGGGGAGCATACACAAGTTGGGGGGGCACCGAAGTGCAGTACAACAATGTATTCGCTGCGCTGCACTGTCTTTGCTTGACTCAACAATCCCCTGACACTGGTGTTATGACACACAGAGTGTGAAATAAGGCCACAGAGTTGATAATCAGTAGAATACAATTCGACACATCATTGTTGGGAGTTTGTAGTATCGTATGTGGATTGAGATTTCATAGGCCCTGCCGTCTCGAATGTGTACTGGGCAGCTGGACGACGAAGAAGAAAAAATGCGAGTACGACAATCGGACAACTTGGGAGTTTATTGCAACGCTCAAAAAGTGGGAATATTGACAAATGATACTTTAGTGTTTTTATATTAAAAATATACACGTTTGTTAGCACGAGTATCGTTTCATATCCATTGCAGCTATGACGAAGGCATAACAGGTGACTCTTCACGCTTTGTCGGGTTTTTTCTCTCTCCAAAATATGACTTTGTTGACATTACACTTTGCCCTAACTTTAGCCAAATATTGCGAAACTAACGAAGGTTCACAACACCGACTGAAGGCCAGAAGGTATCACACACATTGCACTGATCCTCAGCAACGTTTACCCATCGCTTTCGTGCCGTTGTCACCTTCATCAGCATCATCATCATCATCCGCCGGGAAGCAATTCAACACTGCCCACTAGAACTTAAAATCAGCTGTCCACACGTTTAACTAGATTCTACAGCACCCAATTCAAGTACCAACCAAACGTTCAATGTTCTCTTAAGATCGCGATATTCATTATTTGTCCGGAGAGAATTCGACTTTATCAGCTTCAGCAAGTTGCACACTTAATAACGTGTTCTCATACGACTACACTGTAGTCCATCATTCATACAAATACCTGTGGCCAGTTGCATAGATATTCACATCAGATGTTTTTTTTTACACCCATCTCCCCCTTTTCCACTGGCACATCCGAGCCAAGCCAGCGTGGGGCCCTCCCCTCAAGGGCGCCGCGGTGGCGAGATGTTAATTACCTCGCCTGGTATACAGGCATCGATCCAGACCCTGACGGCTGCCTTATATTTGGAGTTTGCAATGTTCTCTCTCCCCCATGATCGCGTGGATTTTTCTCCGGGTCCTCCGGTTTTTTCCTTCCACATTTGAGAATCAACATCACTCGAGTATTTGGTTGCATTCAATTTGCACGGAAGTCCACTTTGCTAAGCCATCATTTACGGCCAGGTCGCTTCTGAAAGAGAGCTACTATTTAGCCCAGTAGGCCTTACCTGTTAAAATAGTTTATTTTGAGTAGTTTAGTATGTGTGGTTTTCCAATGGCTGTCTCAGCACAGGCCCAAGTTGTGCAGTGGAAAAAGAGAATAGAGTGACTTGTGGCGGATTTAAAGGCCACTCTGCAAGGGACTTGAAGGGCACCTACAATCCCTTTCACAGGGCACGGAAAGAAATTCCTCCAACATTTGCGGATACAAGCCTGCTGGTTGTTGTGTTATCCCTGGCCATCCAAAACGGGAGGTATTTTTACCCAAAAATTGTACACTCCGAGTGAAATCCTGAGGTGTGCGCGTTTCCTATCGTTTCCTATCGATCACTCTGACCCTTGATCGATATCGATAAAGGAAGCATCCCAAGTGTAAATTGGGAGGGGGGGGGAGAATGTCCACTTTTTAAGACACTGTTACAAACCTTGCCTCGCTGTTAAAACGTCACCCAGGCCCGCTTCACAAGAAAGCTTCCTTGCCAGCTCAAAAATCCACTCAAACCCAGCACAAGCATCCACTAGAATCGCCGCTTTCAGAGGCCTCCAATCGGAAAGTCCACAGGCGTCAAACGGCGATGATGCCACAATGCACAATGTAATATGGGGGCTCACGCAAAGCGAAATGTGAATGAATGGACTTAAACAATCTCACCGGAGGAGAAAGTGTGAGGCTAAGCAGATAGCAGGGATAGAAGCGGTAAAATGTCAACCGTTTTATTCTTCACGAAATGTATTCCTTCTGCCGTGCCGGCGTGGACGGATACAATGATATTTAAGCAGAGGCTTAAAAAGCTCCCCAACGTGTTTGTACACGGCGTTTATCGATTCCTGAAGAAGCTCCTGACATGTTGAGCGAAACGTCGGACACCGCGCCGAACAACACGCGGTGGTAGACGACCCGGGCATCGCGTCGGAGAGCCGTCCGCCACGACCGTGACGACCTGTGCAGCAAGAGACTCAAAAGCTACTTTTTAGTTTTTCCCCTCCCTGTAATAAAAAGCTCTTGGAATCGGCTTCAATAATTCAGCTCCATCCCGCATGGCCACGCTGCTCACCGAACACGTGGGCGTCCTAAGAGCAGACAAATCGCCTGCTCCACAGCACCGATCACCCCAAGTCGCAGCTAAACCAATCAACAGTTGTTGCATGCATCGCCACAACAGTACATTGAAGAGGCCACACACACCTCCTTCAAGCACATAAAGCCATACGTATAACATTTGCCCTTTGTAACACGAGTTTTCCTATAAAGGTATGCACAGCGGCGAGATGTTAACTACCTCGCGTGGTATACAGGAGGTTGTCGGTTCGACCCCGACGCCTGCTGTATATTTGGAGTTTGCGTGTCTCTCTCCCCGTGGTCGAGTGGATTTTTCTCCGGGTCATCCGGTTTTTCCCTCCACATTTAGAATCAACGCCACACGTTTAGAGAGTGTCTGGCTGCTATAAATATCCAACGTGATAAGCCACTTTTGCTGAGTTATCATTTGTGGCCAGTACGCTTCTTTTTTTTTTACCTGGTAAAATAAAAATAATTTATCGTTTTATTTTCTCTGAAAGTTAGTAAATCGGCAGGCCGCGCGAGGTGCGAGTGAATTGCGCCTGCTCCCACCTCGTCATAGACATCTGCCCAGGGAGGAAGATTAGGCCAAATACCCTCGAGGGGACGGGCTCTCTCTCTCGAGCTCCCAAGAGTCAAGGGGCCCTACCCCTAGCAGCGGCGTGAGCCAACAATCGCAGGCCTCCACCGGTGCCTTTGCCTTTATAGCCATAACCGAGTTACGTGCGTGCGTGCGTGCGTGCGTGCGTGCGTGTCTCCCATCCTATAGGGGAGTGGTAGTGTAGCGGTTAGCGCGCTGCACTACGAACCCGTCCACCCGAGTTCGATTCCCGCTCACGCCTAAAACCGCTGGCGATTATCCGGACCGGTCCTGGGCCTCCCCTAGGTCGACTCAGCCTCAAACGAGTACCTAGTGCGGTGTCTAAAAACATCGCTACTGGGGAGACAAAGGCGGCCCGGCCCGGGCGTGGTTGCTGGCCACCGACCCCTGTGCGTACTGTACCGGCTTTCACAGCTGCTACTCGCTAATACCACTTGCCCCAAGTGTGTCAAGGCTGTACGGGGGATCTTTGTCTTTGTGCGTCTCCCTTCCCCTCTAGCACTGCAGTAATGCTGTACACTGTGTCAACATGAGATCTGTCCTCATCCTTCTATACTGCGTCTGTGTAGCACCGCTGCTACACATTGCTCACCAAATTCACACACGCCCTTGGGGATTTTTAATTTTAATTGGTAAAAAAAACCCAGTGAATTTCTTATTCAGTAAGAACATGATTAAATATGCACATTAATATTTGCCTCAAAAACAAATTTGTCTTGAGTGTATAAACCTATATATGCAATTATTCTTGCTCGATCTGTTTATAGTAGATTAACTGTGCATGTTCATAAAATTATGTTCACGAAACTATCTTCTATAATTGCTTAGCCATGAACCAGGTATGTATGTTTGTTCAAGAGCGTGCATTTTCATAAAACCTACAACAAGTAATACATTGGCACAGGGGTGAAAGGTGATGCTATGAACCCAGCAACCTGAGTTTAGATCCAGATCATGGCTAACACCATCGGCAGGTACAAGTGTAATATTTCCCTGCAGATATGTTCCTTCCACTAAGTTCATTAAAAGAGATCATGCTTATTAAGACAAATGTGAAGCATTATCCACATTGAATAAGTTACGATTGTCACCACAAAAACCATTACCTGGGGACAGATGACCCACAGAAAGGTCAGATTCTCTAAGTCTAAGACAACATTTAATTCGAGTCATCAATGACGCACTGTATGCATATTGACGTGACGTGAAGCGGGAGTGGACGGCATGGGTGTGCGCCATGGTGAGCACAGCGCGCGCTATGAAGCCGGAGACACGGAGTCACTTCATCGTCACTTCCCAGCTACGGGCAACTTCGGTGCCGAGTGACATCTGAGACCAGCCCTGGATCTCATCCCCTTCAACCCACACGGCGGCCATTGCGTGGGGAGGGCTTCATCCAGCAGTGGATTGATAAAGGCCGTACATCATGACATTATACGTGCGTGCGTGCGACACCGCACAAACGCGCATACGTCAAAAAGGTTTCGAGTCTGAAATAGAGCATCGGCACGCAAAGTACAAACTAAATGCCATTCACGTTTAAAAATTAATGACCTCTTGATCTCAATTGCACGTGTGTTCACTATACAGAAGTGGGGGGTGGGGCATCACACTAAAGGTGAGATTCTGGTGGCTGGGTGCTAATGCCCACCCAAGGAAGAACCCACGGGGAGGTTTAAAAAAAAAAAACGGGTTCAAGGGTAGCGAGAAACAACGGTCTCATCTCCGTCATCGAAGGCGGCAAAAGCAAATAACACGATGACCCTTCGTATTAAATTCGCCTGTTCCATTAATTCACCAAAGTGTTAGTGCCGCGACGGCCACGCGAGACGTTGGGCTGCAATAGATCAAAATCGGACGTTAGTCGCCGATCAAAGAGACGTGCACGTGTCGGGAAGACGTTTCGCGTGGCAGTTGGAAATCGATCCAATCCCATCGGTTGGTACGGCGTCACGTGACACCCCCCCACCCCGCCGCCCTCTTGTTTGATTGGCTAATATCCGCACGATGGGCGAATTTTCTCGGAGTGCGTTTTTTTGTTATCCAGCGCCAAACTCACGCGGGTTACAGAGCCAATTGATGTGATTTCAGAAGTGGCTCTGCCAAGTCCCTTACAAACGTCGTCGTGGCCGTCGTCGCTGCGCCGATTGCCGCGAAGGTTTCCAACGTAAAAGCCTTTGTACCGCGAACTGAAGCGGCTCGTGCAAAAATATTAAACCTAAGCCTCACGCATTATCTTGACATGACCCTTGTAGTTTAACTATATTAAAACAATACGAGCCTTTGTAGTGTAGTATTATGATTATTAAAATAGGTTAGCAATATATATGGAAATTATGTGTTTGTGTGTATATATACTGTAAAGTTACGTATTCTGTATAATCCTGCAGGCGAAAATTCCTTGATCTTTATAATCCTAGTATAGTAATGACACTTTACATGGTAGCCACTAAGAAATTAGCCTTGAAGCAAAACTAAAAACCATTTAGATAAGAACAAATATTTGCGTGCGTTCCAAATTCATAGTATGGTCTTTGGTTATATACTTTTTAAAAAACACCTCAAAGTAAACAACAACAAAAGTAAACACAAATACTATTTGTGGAAAAAGTAACCGACTCGTAAAATGAGAAAAACTGTAACAGAGTAAACACGTGGCAAGGATAATAATTTGCATGTCCAGTATGATTGCATTCCTCGCCAAGCCTCAACTCAATCATTCCAATTCCCCAAACGCAGTCTGGCCAAGGAGAACTCCCCAGTGGCAGCTGTCCCTGGGTGGCGTAACGCTGTACACGCAGCAACGGGCTGCAGCAAGTGTGCATTCAGTCTGCCAGTCGGGGGATGATGTGGTGGTATCGCCCCTTTGCGTGAATACTCGGGATGAATTTCTGATTCAAACGTTTCAGATGTTTAAGGACAATTTCGGATCTTTATACGGACCGCTTATATCACGTCATCATTTCACGTTTCTTCGTGCGAACAAAAGTGAGGAAACCCGATGTCATGTTCCACCACTTTTGGTGGGAAAAGTATGGAAGTGATGTAATATAAGCGAGGTCATTTCCTGTCATGTCATAATTCCTGATCGACCAGAAACAAGAGTTTTTAGGATCATCCAAAATGCCATATCTCGGCCTGGCATCACATCACATAGTATCGATATTGGCAAGGGTGTGACATACGAACTTCGTTACATTTTAAGGCAAGAACTACAGCATTGCCTGGGCGGGGCGGGGTTTGTGTTGAACTTTGGCCCATTGTTAGTCTGCGAGCACTTTCAGCACTGCCGTTGGGGGACTCCCATCTCTCAGCTGTTACCACGATGCTGATCATCCGAGTCAGAGGACCTTCAAAAACCACACGGGTGGGTGAGGGCAGAACTGGCTGCAGCAATGTCCCTCGTGTTGTCAATAGCTCAAGTTCCAGCTGCTAGGGAGGGTCACCGGGGGCTGGGCGGGGGGGTTCCTTCTGAGCTTCATTTGCCTCTGGAATTTGGCGCCGAACTCCGAACTGCAAGAGAGTAAACACACAAGGGCAGAGGGGGAGTGAGAGGTTTGTGAATTACTTGTCCAAGCTGTGGAGTCCAGCCAGAGCGCATCAACAAACATCGGCTGTGCTCTCCCTCTTCTCGGGTTTGCAGCTTGATCAGAAGGGTGTCTTTGTCGTGGTGCTGTTCTGTTGGGGAGCGGTGGTGCAGCAGTTAGCACGCTGAGCTACCCGAGTCCGATTGCCACACTTTGCCAACACAGCAGCACCACAGATTAGCACGGGTGGCTACGTACGGTGCGAAATAAGTCCAACATACAGCGGCGAATATCGGAACTGGTGTGGCGTGTAAACATCGGCACTGGGGAGACAAAGGCGGCTGGGCGTGGTGATGGCCACACCATCCATCCTGATGTGTGCTGTGCCAGTTGTCATAGATGTTCGCCCACAGCACTTGCCCCAACAGCTTATGTAGGATATACGGGGGCGAGGTCTTTGTCTTTGTGGTGGACTTATAAGGTATTTATGGGTATAATTCCCATGATGCACTAAAGCAAAAGATATATCTTTCACATTGGCATAATTCCCATGATGCACTAAAGCAAAAAATATATCTTTCACATTGGCATATTACGATGTAAATTATATTTTATTCTCCGAAATAGATTTCAATAAAATTTTACAACGTGACAAAATGAGAACACGCTGGTGTTCATAATTTATTTAAACAGATCCAGGTTGAGGAATGTGAAGATAAAGAACCCAAACGGGAAAACCCTAGAGACGTAATTAAACAGGGAACACACTATTCATTCATAACGTTTAGTGTAAATTTATACCTACATAGAGCTTTACATTTGTCAATATTATGCCATGAGATCACACTTATCCCGACTCTTACGTATAACATCATGGGTTCTGTGATGTCTATTTTACAGTCAGCTTTTGGCAATACCAAGCCCTGGAAAGTCGAACAAGAGACCAAAAATGAACGCTTGGCTAGGGGCAAATCGGTCGGACAGCTCAGCTTGTAGAGCGAGTCCACTGCATGGCAGAGCCAACTCTGCATTAATCACGATCCTTCCGCCGCACCTCCGATTAACATGGTTGACTACGTACGTGGTGTGTTCAACGCACAGTAATAACCATGGCATACATCTCTCTGTTTTTATTCCAACGATGCTGCTGCGGTGTTGCGATTTGCACGCTGGGGACTTGCGAACTGGAGGGCTGCCGGCTCGGTTCAATCTCCCGGCGCGGCAGCTGAAACAGCGCCGCGGTATCAGCCCCCGATGGAGGCCTTCTCTCTTCCTTCCGACATTAAGAAGCCACCAGAGCCATGCACTTTTAATTTGTCTACATTACAAAGTCATTTTCTTTAGAACTGCTTTTTGTGTTTAGTTTGTTGTCCTTCCCCCACACCTCCCGATCCGCGCAGTTGGCTACGCTCAGCTTTGCGAAAGAGTTCAACGTACGTACAGCAGTGAGCGTGGGTTCAACACTGCTGGTCTACGATCGATAGGTTGCGAGCGGTGCGCTACAGTGAGAACAACTCCTACCCTCTTTGCCCGACATCTGGTCAGTTTGGAAGAGTAGGCCAAAACACCCTTGAGTGGAGGTCCTTCTGCAAGCCAGTGACGTCAGAAATCAATTGCAGGACTTTACCTTAACACTTTTAGTTGTCTAATTAAATGTTTCAATGCTTATTTATGGTTTCATTTCAGGTTTTAACATTTAATACTTATTATAAAATTGCACCGGAGCATTTTTTTCAAACGGAATTTTCTCTGGAGCTCGAGTTACACTTTTAGGAATTTGCTTTCAGTTTCTCGCCGTACCGATCCAACGCAGGCGGGACACTACAATTACCATCACCGGTGACGACCTTGCCGTCGCGTGGCCTCCTCTCACATCGCCGCTGCGGTCAGCAAACACAACTCTCACCCAAGCACTGACCTCCAGTCGAGGCGGGCGGTGGTGGCGGACGGTGCTGTGGACGGAGCTCCTGCAACGACGGGCGTCCGTGGAACCCTTGCGCAGAGGCAGGAGGATGAGGAGGAGGAGGCCCGCGGATTCCTTGCCACGGTGGTGGAGCAAACGGCCCCTGGGACGGAGGTGGCATGCGGGGCGCTTGGGACAGGGGCGGGCTCTGCGGTGCTTGAGAATGCTGAAGTTGTGGTTCGGCATGAAGGTGAGGAGGTTGCCCAGGAGGTCCCTGTGGAGGACGGTGCCCAGGATGCACTTGGGACGGAGGTTGGCCCCGAGCTCCTTGTGGTGGAGGATGTCCCGGAGGACCCTGAGAGAGATGTTGCCCAGGAGGAGGTCCCAGCATTGGGGGCTGCCCAGGAGGTCCCCGAGGAGGAGGAGGACGTTGCCCAGCAGAACCCTGGGGTGGATGTTGACCGGGGGCTCCTTGCCACAGCGGCGGTGGATTGCGGCGCCCTTGGGACGGCTGCGAGTCGTACGGCACGAGGGGTTGCGGCGGAGCCAACTGCCCTTGAGCCGGAGCCCCGGGGGCCCCTTGTGGTGGTGGAGGGTAAAACTGCCTCTGCATCGGAGGGAGACCGCCGCTCAGCGCAGGAGACAGAGGCGGTCCGTACGGCGCCGCCGGCACCGTCGGCGGTAGACCAGGCCCGGGCTGCCCTCTCAACATTCCGTTCTGCGACGCCGAAGCGGCCGCCGCGGTCGGGCCCGCCGGCTGCGGCCGCTGCGGAAAACCGTACGCCGCCCTGGCAGACTGCGGCGGGGTGCCCTGGGCGGAGAGCGGCGACGTCTGCGGACCGCCGCGCGGTCCCGCCTGGGCCGGCGGGATGTGCTGCCCCCGGGGGGGAGAGTGCCGGGGGTACGCCGGCTCGTGGGGCCCCGGCGGCGGGGGGACGTGTCCGTGCGAAGCTCGCAGCTCCGGCGGTCTCCCGGCCGGAATGGGATTCTGCGTCGAAGAAGCGTCCGTGAGTGAACGTACTTTCGGTAACGGGCCACGGTAATCGTGATCGTAATAATCATCATACTAAACGAGTACATTTGGTGTTTGTGACGTTCTCGCAGCGCGGAGTAAAAAAAATTGAGAGCATTTTCCCTGCTCAAAACGAGCATGGCACGGTGCTCATCCGAGTTGATAATGACATATTCCCAGAGCAACAGTGGGCATTTCTAACGGAACACCGCTGTTGATTTCCCCACGAAGAGGTACATGCTTTATCGACCCAGATGGACGATGGGCTGAATTGGTGTTGAATGGACCAGCTTCCAGCATTACGCGTTGCGATTAGGTGTGGCAGTCGCAAAAACATTTAATAAGGGTCAGTGCCACAGATGATTTTTCCTTGTGCCAAGTTAAATCAAAGTAAACAAAAGCACAATGGGTTTTTTTCTTTCAAATATGCCTTCCAATAAGGGTGTTTGGCCTCCCCGTGTGAGGAGGCAATCATGTATTTTCTGGCAGCATATATGGTAGCTGTTACTGCGCATATAAAAATGCACAGATTAACGTAATAAAATCTTTATTGATATGCTCACATCCATATGAGAATTGATAAATTACTAATTATATTAATTCTACACTCATGATGCAAACCAAAATGCATAAATGAGATGGTGGGGGGGGGGGGAGAGATGGATGGGCAAAAAATTAATAAAAATTTAACGGTAAAAACGTAGACGAATAATTGATCCTCGGCTCGTGTCACGACCGTGAACCGTGACGGTGAAAGCCGCCCAATTACACACCCAAGCGATCGCTCGCAAGGAATGCCTTGGCAAGAACGCAGCAAAAGGCTCAACTGAACGTGGCACTTGGTAACGAGCTGTTGCGGTAACGGCGGTTCGTAATTTCCCAAATCAAAACACGAGGGCACCGAAAAGTGGCCGTCGCGCGGACGAGCCTAACGAGGCCTAGGGTTAGCAATTCGTAGAAAGTCGCTCACGTGAAGGCCGTCGGTGCTGTCGAGCGGAGACGAAGGCCCGTTATCTGCTCCAGGTTGGAGGGGGGAATTATGGGATGAAAAAACGGAACAAGAACAGCGAATTAGGTTCCCTCCAGCCCCCCGCCGAATGAAACAAATGTTCGCAGTTGCAACCGAATCGGTGTTCATCCAATAAAATAAATGCAAACGAGACGGAACAAGCGGGGAGGAGTGCACAACAGTAGCAGCGTGAGAGAAATGCCCTCGTGAGAAATTAGCCGAGGAGAGAGGGCAAAAAGAATGCGAGGGATTGGAGAACAAACGCAGGTGAAAGACACACGGCTGTCATTGTCGGGAAGGGTAAGCGGAGCGTGGGCGGGGGAGCACGTCACGGGGTGGGAGGGTGTCCCGTGGGCGAGGGTAGCGACGGAGCGTCCAAGAGGACGATGGCCACGGAGACGGAGCGATGAAACCGGCTCGCGTGCACAGCAGCTGCCGGATGGATCGTTGTATTGCAGGACCGTAAGAGGGACGGTGATGGCTTGGAGAGGCCTTGGACCAGCAGTGGATTGATGATGACTGCTAATGATGACGACGATGAAGAAAACCCAGAATGGCAGCCAGACAAAACAAGGGGGTGATCAAAGGGGAGATGGAGCGACACAACCAGGCGACACAAGCCAGCGGAGCCGCATCGTCAGTGGGCCAGAGGGAATGACTGTCAGTGAATCTACAAGAAGCCTTCATGCAGAAGTTGATAGAAAATGGTCGATGGTGACAATCTTGCTGGTTGGTGGCAACGCTAAATTATTTAATGTTTGTGACGAGAGGCAGTTCTATCATTAATTCCTTCATTCATTTGACATGTAACTGATAACCACCCTTTCCTGCAAAGTACACATCTGGCATGAATAAAATATTCGCCCCTGTCCACCGAGAACAAAGAGTAAATGCTGAAAAATCTATAAGATCATAAGTAATGTATGAGCGTGATTCAATAACCAAATAATTCAATAAGCCGCTATATCTACGAAACTGTGGCTAGCAGTGATTGGGACAATCCTTGTGTTTGTGTGCATTTTTTTTTAAACCAGTTTTTTGTTTGTTACATGACCGACATATTGCGCAATCAAAAGTGGGAGCACCCTTGCATAAGTGCAGGAAAACATTCATATTTTTGTTCGTGGCTTCACATATTTATAAGACGAAAAAAACACCCCACATGTCAGCTCTATCTTCCAAAGGTACTTCTTGTCCGCGCGATTGGTCATACACACGACGAGTCGAGTCACGCTGCTCCTTGCCACCCAAATCACGGCGTATTTCGACAAGGAGAAAAATCAGCGGATGGCGGCTGCCAAAAGATTGTAACGTTGAAACGGGGTGGGACGGGGGGGGGGGGAAATCTTGAAAAAATTATGGAAAAAAATGACCACCTCCTGGTGTAAAGGCAATGACAGCAAAGGCAACAGAGGAGTGGAGTAAAAATTCCACGGAAGGCCACAGAGCAAGAGGGCTCGGGCTCGAAGGGAGGCGCTGGTGTACCGGCCGCTCGTGGGGTGCGGCGGGGCTGCCCCGGGGCCCGCGTGGGCCCTCGCCGCGGCTCGTCCGTCAGCATGGGAGGCGACGGCGGGCCGCTCACCGGCGACGATGCAAACGACGAGCCGTCGCGCAACGACGCTCCTGCCGAGGGTGGGGGGGCGGTGGGGGGTGGTGGGGGGTGATGGGGGTGAGGGCTGAAACGTGGCTCGACGGGCCTTACCAGAGCCTCCGCCACTCCAGCCAACGGACAAACGGCACCAGGGGCCACATTCGCTCTCGCTCGCACGCTCGCGCCCAGGGACGAGCACTGCCATGGAGCGACGGTCAGCGCACGCTGGACTCGCAATGCGGAGGTCGCCGGCTCTGCTCGGCTCGGCTCGATCTCCCCGGCAGAGCGGCAGGTGAAATGAAGGTAAAGGTGCAGCCTTGCAATTTCTAACTCGTGCGACTTCGGCGGGAAGGGCGTCCCCACTGGGACTAGCTCTGGAGAGCCCCTTCTAATTTCGTCGGCTCTTCCGCACAGGCCATGGTGTCGTCTTGCAAGAGGGCTCTACTGAACTTCATCTGACCGCACACAACCTGCCTGTCGACTGTCCCCGTGTCACCCTAATTTATGCTGCTGGGTTGGACACGGATGGGCGTTGTGGTGGTGTTACCGCCACATTCTGTGTCATCAACAGTGCTCAGTCGCAGCGCTGCCAGGACTGGGGATGAGTCCCCCGATTTTTGGATTAAACCCAAAGCGATGAGTAAGCGAGCATCTCTGTGTGTCGGAACCACCAGACATCGCAGTGATGAGTAAGCGAGTTAGTATCTGTGTGTCAGAACCACCAGACATCACAGCGATGAGTAAGCGAGTTAGTATCTCTGTGTGTCGGTACCACCAAACATCGCAGTGATGAGTAAGCGAGTTAGTATCTCTGTGTGTCGGTACCACCAGACATCACAGTGATGAGTAAGCGAGTGAGCACCTCTGTGTGTCGGTACCACCAGAGGCTGGAGGGGCAGCCCTCTCTGAAAGTCCATCCGATAGGTCGGTGGCCTATGCAGCAGGGCAAGCTTGAGTTCAATATCCGACATCCTAGGTCATGAGACACAAACACAGTCAGAGACACACACATACACAGTCAGAGTCGATGCATCGCTGCACACCTAGCATTTTAGCAACGACAAACATCGCACCGTACCTTTCCACACACACACCGTTTCTTAAAACTCCGCAACACTGCCGTGTAGATAACCGCCAACGCCTCCGTCCCACCATCCCGTCCGTGGAGTGGCGGTGACAGGCCTTAATGTGCGCCGACCCATCTCAACGATGTCTCATTTGTCCCTTCTTGTATTGTAGCTTCTAAGTCGGGACTTTATTTAACAAAAATACAAATCTTATTTGAATAGTTGGCACCAAAATTCAAGCAAACCAGAAACGGACAGCGCTGTAAGTCCCGTGCACCGTCACAGCTGCAGTACTGTATGGTGGTGGCCTGGAGTCGCTCATCCAGCGCAGCAACATGCCATGGGTAGTGGCACTGATGATGATCGTAATTATATTCAATACTGTCGTACGAGAATTTGGTGCGTGCCATTTTGAAAGAAACTCACCTCTCCTTCAGGGTGGAAACTTCCTTCTTGGATGCCACCATCTCCCTCTCAGCCGTGCGAGCTTTAAGCTGAAACACAACCAACATTTTAGAATGACAGCACGGGGTCGCTTGGCTTCGAGGAAGCGAGTACCTCTGAGTGAGGACCTCTGAGTGAGGACCTCTGAGTGAGAACCTCTGAGTGAGAACCTCTGAGTGAGTACCTCTGAGTGAGGACCTCTGAGTGAGAACCTCTGAGTGAGAACCTCTGAGTGAGGACCTCTGATTGAGGACCTCTGAGTGAGAACCTCTGAGTGAGGACCTCTGATTGAGGACCTCTGAGTGAGAACCTCTGAGTGAGGACCTCTGATTGAGGACCTCTGAGTGAGAACCTCTGAGTGAGGACCTCTGATTGAGGACCTCTGATTGAGGACCTCTGAGTGAGAACCTCTGAGTGAGGACCTCTGATTGAGGACCTCTGAGTGAGGACCTCTGAGTGAGGACCTCTGAGTGAGGACCTCTGATTGAGGACCTCTGAGTGAGAACCTCTGAGTGAGAACCTCTGAGTGAGTACCTCTGAGTGAGTACCTCTGAGTGAGGACCTCTGAGTGAGGACCTCTGAGTGAGTACCTCTGGGTGAGAACCTCTGAGTGGGAACCTCTGAGTGAGAACCTCTGAGTGAGGACCTCTGATTGAGGACCTCTGAATGAGAACCTCTGAGTGAGAACCTCTGAGTGAGAACCTCTGAGTGAGAACCGTGATACACGACAGCCAATGCAGGAACACAGCGGGGATGCCTCAGAAACAGGAATCATGAATGAGGGATTATATCTTGACTTAAAGCTTTCGTCACTGCAGGAATTCACATTCTTTGCGTCTTTCGGTAAAGTCACGTAGATAGGTTCAAATTAATCAAAATCAAATAAACAAAAAACTACGTTTCGATCGCAACACAAGCGGTCGTCATCCGCCTGACGACCGCTTGTGTAGTTTTTAAATTTTTATTTTTATTAATTTAAACCTATCTACGTGACTTTACCGAAAGACCCAAAGAATGAGTGAGTATATATTTATATATGTATATGTACATATATCTGCGTCCCTGTGGATCGAAGCGAGAATAGTGTAGAGAATGCTCAAAGTGTTTGAAGCACGCATTTAAAATGCGATTACTTTTTCAGGATTAATGAGAATTCAAGAAACTACGGGTAATTCCCCATCAACCAACTTCTGTGATATTACTCTTTAAAAAAAAAATTCATGGTTTGCATTCTACTACTACTAGAGTCTGCCCATCGAAATGACGATGGCTTTCTCAGAAGCTTGGGGAATTCGTGGTTTTGTTATCCTCTTAAATGTTTTCTAAACGTGCGGTCTTTGTGATGCGCACGCGGGCATGGCCGTGACACGGATCCAGGGGTCAGAGGACAAACGCCCTCTAAGTTCCGTTACACGCTACACAGTGCGCCGCCGTAGGTTGTTTTTCGCGTGTATAAAACACGAGGATCAAATTTGACGAGCAGCACGTGCGCACACACGGACAACCGCAGTGCGTCTCCTCGTGACGCCAATGAAAATTAAAAACCCGTCTTGCGTTTGGCCAAAACATCTTGGTTTGCGACGAAGCTCCAACCCACCTCCGCCCCCCCCACCCCCGCGCTCACGCGATCCGCAGTGTCGGTGCTCGTGCTGCACGAGCACGCGGAACGACCCAGCGTCAGACCTCGCGTGAATGGAGACAGCTCCGGCTCTCTCTGGTGCCGAGATGTTAACTCCCTAGCCTGGTATGCTGGGAGGACGTGGGTTCGATCCCGACCCTGACGCCGGGAGTTTGCTCATCTCTCTCTCTCTCCCTGTGGTCGTGTAGATTTTTCTCCGGGTACTCCGGTTTTTCCCCCTCCACATTTAGAATCAACGCACGTCTGGAGTATGCGGCTGCTATAAATTTCCACATGACGAGAAGCCATTTAGTTGAGCTATCATTTGCGGTTAGGTCGCTTCTGAAAAAGGGCTATTAGCTCAGTGGGCCTTACCTGGTGAAATAAAAATAGTTGAAGAGTTCAAAAGTTCTGAGCGACTCTTCTCAGTAGACTTAGTAACTTGCTGACCCGCCCATACTGGGCATCTGTGAAAAAGAACTTCATAGCTCATCGGATTCCTCCTGGAGTCCAAATAAAGATTCTGATTCTAATCAAGCCCTCGTTGATTTACACCCAGGAGGGCCCTGTATTGGGAAGTTTGGTCAAATAACTGTGGGTGAGAGTGTTAGGCGCCGTGTGATAGAAATTGCAGAGAAACCTGGAGACAACCCACTCGTACAGAGATGGTTAACACACAAAGCTCCCCACAGATAGATTCGAGACTCCAATCGTCATACAGCCCCCGACGTGACCAACCCACGGTCTGACGAGATTAGGCACGTTCAGGGCGATTCGGTCACAGACTTTGCGACACGCCGCCAATGAATGATCACAATTCAACGTGACGGTCTTGAAGTACCCTGGTGGCTTACAGCAGTCAATAAATCAATCAATGGAGTGAAAGATGGCAGCGTTCGCGCGGCCCACTCTGTTAAGCGAGAAAATCACGACGAATGCTCTCAGCGGGGTGACCGAACATCAATCATCGATCGTCCCGGTCTAAAAAAATAAAATCAATCAACCTCACAGCCAGAGCACATGGGAAAGTATGGCCCACCCACTAACATCGCCTCAATTGGGTAAAAAGGCCACTGTGTAAAAAAGAAACTTTTTACAGTGGGCATATTTCCCGACCATCACCAATCTCAGCCACAGTTTCCAGCACTACAGAGAGACTATGGGACACACACACACATTAAAAAGCTTCCCAAAGAAGATTTGTAGGACGCCCATCGGTTATCTGCCACGCCAACGTGAGAGAGAGGAGCTCACAACTCCCCTGTCCCCAAACTAACGGGGACGCAAAGTAAAATAAAAACTAGTTTATTTTTACTTTACTACGTAGCTCTTTTTCAGAAGCGATCCGGGGCCACAAATGAAAGCTCAACCAAGTGGCTCATCATCACACAGGTGATGTATAAGCAGCCAAATACTCTAAAACGCGTGATGCCGATTCTAAACGTGGAGGGAAAAAACCGAAGGACCCAGAGCAAAAATCCACGTGACCACGGTGGGAGAGAGGGAGAGACACACGCACACTCCAAATATACAAACTCCAAAAAGTTTGAGGATTAGACAATTTTGAAATTAGTTACCGTACATTAGGAACTAATGAATTGCCTCTAATTACAAGTCAATTGGCGGTAATTATCACGAGCCATTTGCAACGCTAACGTTTTACTTGCATTGCACGAGCAACGTGCGAAATTTAATTTGCTTTTAATCTCAATTTGAACTTCAGGGACTGCAATGGCCATGCTGTAGAAGCGAAGGGGGGTTGTGGTTCGCAATGATCGTCATAATCATCATCAACAACTAATGCCGCCTTAACGAATGTGCTTTGCTCTTCTTGACGAGGGTGCCCCCCAGCCCTCTTTGGTTGAACGTGCGTTGTTTGGTGTATGTTGAACGTACGTTGTTTGGTGTATGTTGAACGTGCGTTGTTTGGTGTATGTTGAACGTGCGTTGTTTGGTGTATGTTGAACGTGCGTTGTTTGGTGTATGTTGAACGTGCGTTGTTTGGTGTATGTTGAACGTGCGTTGTTTGGTGTATGTTGAACGTGCGTTGTTTGGTGTATGTTGAACGTGCGTTGTTTGGTGTATGTTGAACGTGCGTTGTTTGGTGTATGTTGAACGTGCGTTGTTTGGTGTATGTTGAACGTGCGTTGTTTGGTGTATGTTGAACGTGCGTTGTTTGGTGTATGTTGAACGTGCGTTGTTTGGTGTATGTTGAACGTGCGTTGTTTGGTGTATGTTGAACGTGCGTTGTTTGGTGTATGTTGAACGTGCGTTGTTTGGTGTATGTTGAACGTGCGTTGTTTGGTGTATGTTGAACGTGCGTTGTTTGGTGTATGTTGAAAGTGCGTTGTTTGGTGTATGAACGTTTAACTTTCTTTCGCACGGTACGCAGCCAACTGTGCTCAACGCTGAACATGCCGTGAGCCCCAATGCCGAAAAAACACACACCTGCAATTTACTCAACAGAGATTACACAGCAGCAGCAGCAACAACCACGTCACCTACGTCACGAAAAACGTGGCAGCATCGTCCTGAGAGTGTTGAGAACTATGCAAGTCCTTTCCTGGCTAAACAAGTGTGGTGATAACCGTAATGACGGACTCCAATGTGGTCATGAATAAAAGGTAATCGCTCTGCAGTAATACTCATCCCCTTTACTTGAGCAGTAAGCACAGCTCTGAGAGAGTACCACAATATGATAATAGGGTTTAACCCTTTTTTCTGGCAACAAAACAGGTGTTAAGATGTTAAACCGCCAAAATAGAAACTTTTTTTATTGTTGTTGGCGATGAAGTGGACTTTTTGTATTTTGACTTAGAGGCTAGAGCGCCCCGCGTCTCATCAACTTGACCAGCTTCTGAAACCTTTTACAAGGAATCATGTCTACATTAACCACAATGTTTGTGTTCAGAATGCAAAAAAAAGGAGGTCCCATGATATAGCTGCTCACCCCGAGCTCTCATTACTTTGATAATGCATTGTCTTTGTGCTGTACGCCTTTTGGCGTCCTCTGGTCTAACACCGTTTGAGACGAGGCTCAAAAGAAAGCTGTCTCTGGTGTGGACCAATCAGTTTCAAGGACAATGCATATATTATCAGAGTATGTTTTTTTTGTTTGCATTCTGACCACAAGCATTGTGGTTAATGCAGACATGATTCCTTGTAAAAGGTTTCAGTTTGGTGTTTTAACATCTTAACACCTGTTTTATTGCCAGATAATAGGGAAAAAACCTACTGATCATATTTCGGTACTGGCAACGGAAGGTCCCATGAAGTACAGTCCATTTTAATTATAGAAAGTGGTCATGTTAATTACAACGGTGTTAAAATACTTCTCGTGTGTAAATTTGCTTTTTTATTATTACCGACGGCACGTGCCACACCGGTGCAGACCCGATGTGGCGCTCTTCAATAAAAGAAGAAACTAATTAAAAAGTTTCAATCCCAGAGGATTAAGTCGCATTGAAAGTGAGCTACTTTTAAACACTTTTCATCAACAAATTGTAACCACAACCACGCGACTATGGTGACAAACGTTCACAGCTGCCACTATCTAGCAGAGCCTCACATCACGTGTGAGTGCGACTCCCAAAGGATGACACCAAACATCTACTCCGTGGCGTCGCGTGGTTGGCATTGGCGCTGGTTCAAGGATATGAAAAAGGGATGCCTGTCCAATGTCCCCCCCCCCACCGTCACTCTTCGTAGCACGGTGACTGGGCTCCCCTAGCCTAGTGACTGGGCCCTCCTAGCCCGTTGACTGGGTACCCTCAGCCCGCGAGCTCCGATGCACCGGCCACGGTGCAAGCAATGAAGTAGGGCCCCTGTACAATTTCCACCCCCCCCCCCACGCCCACTCTTCATGGGCCTGGCAACACTTGTGGCCACCTCCGGCCCTGCGTGCGCTGGTCAGATTACACAACCCCCTGCGCATTTCGACAAGTCTGGCACCGCATCCCACCGCTGGGCCCAATGTCTCTCGAACAACGCAGCACGGAGTTTCTTCGTGCACAGAGTGGGGGGGGGGGGGGGGGGGGAGTAGGTAAAATTCGCTCCCCACGATTCGATTCGTGAAGCGATGGGATTTTGTCTCGTCTGTGCCCTCTCGTGCGCATTATCACTTTTTTGATCCGTCGTCACCGTCGTCTCTCTGTGTGTTGCTGGGCGAAACGTAACGTTGGCACGCAAAGTTGAACACACCGCGGACGATCGATCTCCAGTCTCCACGCAGCTTGGCGCCATCTCCAGACGCTCCCGCTCGCAGAACTGCCGCCGCAAGGTTTTACGCGCGCGGCTCTCGGCGCCGAACGTCTTCTGCGCCGCGATAGTTTGATTGCATTCATTACTTTGCCAGTGATTGGCACGAGAAAATTCGACGGACCGAAACAAAATTAACTTTGGGAATCAAACAAAGGTCATGCCACGGTGCCCCCAGACCACCTAAGCTGCCACTCCGCATTACCAACAAACAAAAACACACACGGGCACGCCAAGCGCACAGACTTCTTACCCAATTTTCGTGAACCTTCTTCTCGTTCGTCGAAATCTGCAGCGAGAGGAAGGCAACATGAAAAGCCGTGCGAGCACAAGACAGCCCACACGGCGATCAAAGGGAATACCAGATCAAGCTCAAGCCACGTGGCAAAGCCGCCGCGCGATCCTCACCTGATCTTTGTAATTCTTCTCCGTTTTGTTAAGCTCCTCGCGCAGGTCTTCAACTTTACGCCTTAAAAAAGGAGCGACATCGGAGGTCATTTTACACGCCGTGTTGTCTTGTCGATGCTGGTTCGTACTTGTCTGTATTGTATGGATTAAAAGGACATACATACAACTGCTCAACCCGATCTATAAATGCTTTGATACTTGGATTGCCTTTGTACTGGTCACCTTTTGGCATTCTCTGGTCTGACACTGGTGGTGAGACTAGGCCATGAAGAAAGGCTGTCTCTGGTGTGGACCAATCAGCTTTAAAAAAAACACATGCATATATGACCAGAGCATGTTTTTGTTTGGATGTTCACCACAAGTAAGCATGGTTGATGCAGACATGATTTATTGCAAGAGGTTTCTGTTTGGTGTTTGAACATCTTAACACGACTGTTTTATTGCCAGAAAGGGTAAAACCTATTCTTATACTTTGATACTGGCAAGAAAAGCCCCATGTTATTGTTTCATACTTTGATCTTGCTAAAAAAATGTCCCATAGATACACACACGCAAATACAAAACGTGGTCTTGGCTGAATAAAGGTAAAAACAGACAAAATAAATTAAGTCGTGGCTCATTTGTGACTGAGCTGATACGCCCGGGGACCTGCTTTAAGTGTTGGATGACTGCTGGGATTTAAGCCCCGGATCTCAGCATTGCTGGCTCAGTGCTCTGATAACGGCATTAAAAGCCTCCTCTACTGCCAGTCACCTCTACGGTGCCAGTTCATAACATTCTAAAAATAGATTACAGTTACGTGTAGGCCTCCGATGCATTGCCACCCTTCCCATTCAATTAATGATCAGGATTTGGGGGTTATGATTCAAAAGCGTTTGATTTTTAATCTTTATACTTTGGTGCATAGTACGACCTCTTGCGGCTGCAGGGGCCCATGCGAACTAATTACGTACACTATGTAAAATAACGTAATGTACAGCTCTTGGCTAGCCACTGCTGCATGAAGTGCTCCCCATGCGGTGTCGGTCACGGGGGTTTGTTTGTGTTTGACCATACTTCACCATGCAGGTCAGTGGAGGTGGTGGAGGAGGGGGAGCACAGGACCAGTTGTCATATCACTCGACACAGATGTTACTCAGATTGCCAGGTGCAGTGTGCTCACCACTGCGCCACCGCTACGTGCCAAAGCAACCATTAATATTGAGAAGAAATAATGAAACTGCTTAAAATTATGTTTTAGTCACAATTTCAGTGAACCATTTGGTCTAGTGATACATGCTATCAGTGATAGGCAAATTGCATGCTTTTTCTTCTAATCGGACCAATCGATTGATTGAAACAACATCAAAACATGTTGTTTTAACAGCCAACGAACGCAGCCCTACCACTGGCAGACATTTCCGTGTGGTGTTTTAGCAAGGGCGACTTTCCCAAGCACCAGGCATCGGCGTAAATCAACCACATTTCCGGAAGGCTCAATCGGGACGCATGGCGAGCGGGCAGCCCCTGCCTAGAGCTCCACCCACTTATACATAGCCACACATCCACAACCGCTAGCCCCCTCACACCGAGCGGCCTAACATTGGCCCCTCCCTCCTGTTTGCAGGCCTTGCCTACTCTTATTATGCCAGCTACGCCCGCTTCTCAGGTTGCCCCCACCCACGACTAACATAGCCCCGGCCCTTTGCCCCCATTCACGAGTCAAGCGCCAAGTCACGACACTTTAAAACCCGAAAGACGAAAATCAAAGTTTTCACAAACGCTTCCATTCAGGACATGGCGGAGGTCGCAACCGGGTACCCGATACCCGTACCCTACCCGATACCCGGCTACCCGTACCCGGCCGGTTACGGGTAGCCGTTTGCGACCCTGGTGTGGCTGGGTACGGGTAGGCCGTGAGTCTCTGGTGATGAGCCGTTTGTCACTCATCTAGGGTAGGGTACGGGTACGGGTAGGGAACGGGTACCCGTACCCGGCCGGGTATGGGTACCCATTTGCGACCCTGGTGCGGCTGGGTACGGGTAAGGAATCAAAACCCGTTTGCGACCTCTGGGACATGAGAGCGGGGGCAGCCTTTGCGAAATGGGAACCGGTCCCGGCCAAATCAGGAGGCTTTGGTCTCTTAAGGATCGGGGGGGGGGGGGGGGGGGGGGAGTCGCAGGTCCTGCCGAGTGTCTCCGCGTGGGCCACGCAAGCCGCTGCCGTACCGGTGGATGCTGGCGTCCTCGATGGCTTTGAGGACACGCTCGTCCACGGCCGACAGCTTGCCCTTGTTCTGCTCGCGGTGGGTCTCCTCCAGGGTGAGCTTCCTGGAGGTGGGGGGGGTGGTGGTCGGACCACAGAAGGTAAGTGCAGTCCCTTCTCTTTTAACAAGCGGTAGTAGTTGCGTTCTTGAAGAAAACTGCATTGGTTGTAGTAAAAATTTCGTTTTAATAAATAATACATAGGGGGTAAAAAGCACGGTCTGCAATGACACGTGAGATGCGTACGCAGGCTGAACAAAGACTGAGTCGCGTGGGTAGCATCCAGAAGCAGAATCCAGCAGCATCCCGCTGCCTTGCGCGATGCAATGGCCGAGGCAGCCGTACGACCGCTTATTCCTACTCGCGCGAGGAAGTTCCGTTCACTCAATCGCGTTCTATCCAATTCGCTTCCGCGTTATGAAAAACGTGTTCCCTAATACATTAATCGCGTTATATATCCAATTCGCGTTATGAAAACCACACGGCGTTATAGGAGAACAGGCTGTACGTGCGTGGGTTGAACTTCTTTCACACCAATACGTACTCAGCCCATCATGCTAACTGGGAGGTGTTTCAAGTGGAAAAAATTAACCCGTAAAAACAAAGTTTTTCACTATAAATCCTTTATATGCGTGGCTGCTAGAGTCCTCTCGTCCTCTGGCTTGAGATGGCTGCCACCTATGGGTCAGATGATTGCCTGCCACCATTAAGCAATTGGTAATTAAATATAAAAAAAAATTCCTAAAAAGTGTAAAATTTTGGAAAAAAATTTTCACGACAATAAATTGTCACGCACAACGAGTCTGTGTGCAAAATGTCAGCTCGATTGGATCACGGGAAGTGGGTTAAAAAACACCCGAAAGATTTGCACGGTCGTAAGCGCGCAAGCAAGCAAGCAAGTGAACTTAATATAAAGGATTTAAAACCGAACACGAAGGGGGGGGGGTTGCGTAATGGGCCAGGGCCCCGTTACCTCTGAAGTTTCACCTCCTTCTCCTCGTACATCTGCTTCACCATGTGCAGCTTCTGCTTGCAGCGCGCCAGCTCCTCGCACAGGTTGCCCTTCTCCGCCGCCAGGCTCGCGTTCTTGTTCTCGTAAGCCTCCAACGTCCCTGGCATTTCAACAAAGACAACAATGAGTCGCCTGCGCAAAGGAATAACAAACCCAACGATTGACAAATCGCAACCCGTGTATAATTAATGGGAACGTGGATTTCTCACCACCGGCAACGGTGGCGGACGAGCGCTGCGATCAATCGCTCGTTTGATACGGTTAACTTCATTTTGCTTTGGGCACGTGTTGAGAAGAGACCAAGAAGATGCAATGAGAAGGGCTGTGGAGACTCGCACGGAGACCCGTGGTTGAGAAGAGTTTGGGAGATTAGAGACTCGCAGACTCACACGGAGACCCACGGATGAGAAAAGCTGTGGAGATGCCACCAGCGCAGTGTCGGAGGAGGAGAGGGAGACCGAGGGTGGGATGAGGCGAGGATGCGTTGGAGCAAGGTATAAGGAGCGTGGATGTGATGATAGATGAGGCGCAGCACGAAATCTCACGGAGAAAAAATATCTGAGCAAACGACAGCAGGCTGCATTTCGTACACACAAGCAAACTCAGTCTTGAGATTACCCACAAGGAGACAGAAAACATCACGCAACACTGAGCTGTTGTGCAGCACAGCTCCCCAACAGCTCTGCGGAGTGCAGCGCAGAGGTCGCAATCGGGTACCCGATACCCGTACCCTACCCGATACCCGGCTACCCGTACCCAGCCGGGTACAGGTACGGGTTCCCGTTTGCGACCCTGGTGCGGCCGGGTACGGGCACGGGTAGGCCGTGAGTCACTGGTGAGTCACCGTTTGTCACTCATTTCCCAACGTCTTGTCTCTTCTCACAATTCAAGTTCCTAGAATCAACCCACCCGCGCCTGCAACATGGCTTCATCCCAGAGGTCACAATCGGGTACCCGTACCCTACCCTACCCGATACCCGGCTACCCATACCCGGCCGGTAGGGTATGGGTATGGGTACCCGTTTGCGATCCTGGTGCGGCTGGGTACGGGTAAGGAATCAAAACTCGTTTGCGACCTTTGGTGCAGCGTGTTGGTAGGGCAGACTCTACTGCCCTCTTCTGCGGAATAAAATGTGTTGCTCGGGTAGACTCTCCTGCCCTCTTCTGGATGAATGCAATTGGCGATTGTTGGGAGTTGGCAGCAATCCAGTGCGTGAAGATAACATGACAGACGATAACAATTAATCCATAATATCGGGTAAATATAAATGTGTCGTTAAACCCGCCACCACACAGCCAACTGGTAAGGTCTGTCACGTAAACAGAACGTGGCCAATTTGTTACACATACAGCACACCGGTGTGCTGGAGAGCAAATCCACAACATTCACAATCTGTAAAATGCCAGCGACTGCTCTGGCAGCTTGCACATTCGTAGAGGATGAGCGTGTTTAAACCAGATAAATCATTCGCAATGGCTAAGCAATCTGGTAAGGTAGCTCAGCGGGACATTGAGCGGCTTCAGGGGTAGGGGGGGGCGGTTGACTCAGCCCATCATGCTTCTGGGGTCGATAAAGTAGGTACCCCGCTTTGAACACGGGACGGTGGGCGTTCTCACCATGCCGTCGTGCGCTCGCTCACCTTCCAGCTTGTGCGTGGCGGCCACCTCGTCCCGGAGGAGGGATCCGTACTCCTCGATCTCCTCCTCGACCACCCTGAGCATCACGTTCACCTGGGCAAGCGCGACGTCATTATCGTCTCGGATTTCAACGCGCAAACGACGCGTCTGCATCGTTCAACCAATGACGTACACGTACGTACGTCATCGGAATGGAAAAGGGTTAAAGCTGCCGAGATCATGAAAAGGCGCTCTACTTCAGAACTGGCTTCGAGCGCTGGTAAAATCATGGGATTTGGAGTCATGAATATCGCAGTTACGTGAACACGTGGGCACATGTAATCACTAACCTTGGAGACATCCATGAGCTCTTGAAGTTTCTGTTTCTGCTTCCGTTTTTCAGATTCTGCAAGTGATAAAATGGAACATGAGTTAATTGTCAACGTTCATCAAAAACATTCAACGCACGCCGATCGTACGGTGACGGTTCTTGTAATGGCGTGGCAGACAGTTAGAGGCTGCCTGGAGACTTTACCCTTGAGAATAAAAAAGAATGACAATTTGCAAGTGACAGATGAAAAGTAGATAGTGCGTCCGTATCGCTAGATTGTTCTGGCTTCAGTCACGGAATTACAGGTCTCTTCTAACCACCATGGCATTGCTTTGTGCTCTGTAGCGACTCGTTTACAGAGCAGAGCTCGTCTAAAATTTAAGAGATACATTTCTATTGCAATTACTGATAGACTTGAAAAGACCGTCAATGTACTTTTAGAGAACTTGAGAAAGTGTTAAATTAAGTGTTACTTTTTGGTTCTTTCGGTAAAGTCACGTAGAAAGAAAATAAATTAAGTGTTACTGTTCAATTAAGTTATCGTCACAGCTATTAATACGTCGCTTAACGATTCACAATGATCACACGATCAGCCATGCACAGTGCCATGACTGGACTTGCTCGAGAATATTTTTTGCCTGCAGAAATTCTCAAGCGGAAATCTAATTGCGCTCCAGTCCACTTTACAGGCGGTGCCAGGCCCAGGTTGCTTTCTAAATCAAGACTGAAAACTCATTCCTCGAAAAAAACTGCTGTTTGCATTTAATTTGGTGTCCCTCCCTCGCACCTTCTTTTGGCACGTTAGCTACGAACGGTGTGAAAGATCAACACACATACCGTGTTGTGTGCATGGGCGGTGTTTTGTTTGTTCAAACTTTGTTTCCTTGTTTGTTTTATTGCGAATCGTTGACGTGCGAGCTCATTACAAAGCACTGATTACAATATAACCAGGGAGGGGTTAGAGAAACTTTACTCCGTGCGAGCAAAAATCAGAGACCCGCATGCCAGGGGCTTAACGAGAGAGGGGGTGGGGACATTCGGGCTCACTGCCCCACGCAAGTGGGGACCGCGGACGAGAGCGTGAAAGCTTAATACGGGGAGGGGAGGACGATAATCCAATCCGTTCCCTTAAGGAAATTGAACGTGAAGGTCACTCGTACCATCCAGACTTTCCGAGTCCACTCCGAGGTCCTTGAGCTGGTTTAGGCACGCGGTCATGGCCTGCGACAAACACAATGCGCTCGTCATCACGATTATAACAACAGCCGCCGTTCGCGACGACTAAGTGGGGGTGACGTCACCACACTGCCTGTGCCAGGACAGGTGCACTCCGAGGAGGTCATGGGACAGGCCCACGTGCCATGGGTTTGCTGACTGATTAATGAATTGAAACCGAGCCTTACGCTGATGATTTTGTGTGTTTAGCTTGTTGTTCTTTCCCCGCACCTCCAATTAACATGGTTGGCTCCGTATGGTGCAGAATGAAGTTGAACGTACGTACGTACAGATGATAATATGCATCGGCTTAAACAAGAGTGCAGCAATTAGTCCAACAAAATGGGGAGAAACGGAAAAGTAATACAAACGAGAGGAAAGGAAACTCGTTCTTAAATCGAATTGCCAACATAAATTGTGACAGTTGGTCAACTCTTTGTGGGGAGGTGAAAATGACCCCCAACTCTCACGACACCAGAGCCTCACGGTGACCCTCCGGCCCACGATGAAGAAGGAGCCAGCAACTACATTTGGCACCCTTTAAATAAGGCCCCTCTCTTAACAAACATGAGGTGGCCCTCCTAACGTGTCTGTCCATTGTAGTTCACTGCACGCACATCTGCCACGATGCTAAAAGTCCTTCCCCCTGGCTGGTGCCGATCGATCTTCATTGGTAACCTTGTGCCAGGGATTTAAATTCCACAATTTCTATGGTAGAAACCAGTCCATTTCCATAGCACAGCCACCCGTGACTAGCCACCAAGTGGTACTAATTTTATTGACTTTGTGTGCAGTCATTGGCAACTGGACTGAAACAATTAATTTGCTAGACACGATAAACTTGCACTTATCTTGGGTGAGTGCCTAGGAATGTAATTAGGTTGGGAGTATGAGCCGTTTAGATCAATCAATGAGCATTTACAAAGCAAGCCATCGATTCAAATTAACTGCGTCCATGGACCCACCAAACCCATTCATTATATTACAATGTCGGATAACTTTGCTAGATCTTCCACAAAGTTAGATTCTTTTAAAAATATTACTTAGTCGAAGTCAATATATTGTTTAATTATTACTGTAATTATTATACATTACTGTAAATTGTCATCCATAACGAGGAAAGTTTTAATCAGCACAATATTGCCAGTTACAACATACTGATCAGATACATGGACAGCGACAAAGCAAACGTAACAAAAGTTAAAATTGTAAAATGTCGTGGATTAACTCTCCAAACACACCGGTGTGCTGAAGCAGTAACGAATTGGCAAGTTTTGTTTACGAGACAAACCGAACTGATTGGCTGTGTCTGGGCTATGTCGGAGCGGTGGTGGTGTGTTAACGGCCACGTTTACATTAATGCGATCGAACCCAAAAGAAAACCTTTCATTGTGACTGCTCGCATTTGTTGAGTTGCCAGGTCTCCTCACCTCCACCTCATTCTGCTTGAAGGCCACGGCCTCCTCCAGGCTCTTCTGCATCTGCCTCTCCGCGTGCAAAGTCTCCGTCAGCTCCCCAACCGACGTATCACAAAGCTCCACCTCCTCATCCAGCTGCACATGCAACGGTCAAGACGCCCACAATTACAAATCGTGAATCTATTATTACCTTTCAATCACGTTTTTACTCTTGTCATTTGCCGTTATATCTTATTTGCCCAACCCTCGTCGGCTATGCATTATTCGCTCTGCTTCTCCGAAGCTTGCATCGGCATGCAATTTGCTTACGTTGAAAAATTTCATACATGCGACTCGATGCGTGTATCGGCGAGTGTAAGGATCTACACGTTGCGTGAACGTTGAACTTCTTTTGCACCATACGTGGCCAACCGCGCTAAATCGAATTATTTAACGATTACCAAACATACAAGCGCTCGCAAAGCGTGCTCTCCTCACCCGGAACAGACACCGGGCACCTTGAGAGAAACTAGAAACTATACGCTCACAAATTGCATCATTTGCCAGAAGCCTGTCCCGAAGGGTTGTGTTTAAGCGTCCATGTGTGCGCGCGACTCGCTGCGGTGGCCGCTGGGGTTTGGGAGACGAGTTAACGGCCTTGCGGATCAGCCCACCCGCCGGTTGCTGCGTTGCAGCTGCTCATTCTCCTTCTCCATTTTGACCAGCTTGGCCTCCATCTTGTCGTTGTTGCTGTTGGCGGTGCCAACCCGAGACAGGACCTGCAATGGGGACAACAACAACAACAAGATGCCGCTTATCCACGGGACCCTTTGCCAGTATCAAGACGATGAAAAAAACCGTAACAGGCTTTAGCTTTTCCGGTTGGAAAAAAAGATAAAGGCAAAGATCCCCCCCTATAGCCTAAACAGACTGTTGGGGCAAGTGCTGTTCACGAGCACCAGGCCCGACCGCCTTTGTCTCCCCAGTGGCGATGTTTACACATTGCAACAGGTACTCATTTGAGGCTGAGTCGACCTAGGGGAGCATGCCTCGAATCGGTTCAGATAATCGTCACTGGTGTCAGCCATGAGCAGGAATTGAATTCGGGTTGCCAGGTTCGTAGAGCAGTGCGCTTACCGCTACACTACCACTCTCCACATACACACACCAAATAGACACTAATCATCACAAGGCATCAAGTCTGCATGAACCACACATGATTGCGGTAATACATGCAAACATGCTATGATAAAGATTGCATTGTCCTTGAAACTGATTGGCCTACACCAGAGACAGCCTTCTTTGTGGCCTAGTCTCACCAGTGTTAGACCACAGAATGCCAAAAGGCAAATATTATTACAAAGGCAATAACATTTTTATTTCAAGCTTTCATGACTGCAGGGATTCATATTCTTGGTTCCTTCGGTGAAGTCACGTAGAAGGGAAATAATAAAGTAATACAAATAAAACTATTTAATTCTCACAACGTTTCGATTGCAACACAAGCAATCATCATCAGGTGTGAAAACCACGGCAAGAATTATTTTGAAAAAACCGCCACTTTTTTCAATCATCACCTGATGATGATTGCTTGTGTTGCAATGATTTTATACCTACGTGACTTTACCGAAAGAACCAAAGAGTATATTCCAGTTACTTTCCCCACACCGAGTTGGCCACAAGGGGGCTCTCGGTGCCTCTGTGGTGCCCGCTGCTGTCGGCAAGCAACGGCACACATGGGCTGCCTCTGACATCACCCACCAGCGATGTTAGCCATGGCCAGGGATCCAACATCCTAGTCGTCATCTTCTTGGTTCTTTCGGTAAAGTCACTTAGAATGGAAATAATAAAATAATAAAAATAAACCAATAAAATAATTCTCACGACGTTTCGGCCACAACGCAAGCAGCCGTCCTCAGGTGGAGAAGACAGCGTCTGAGAAGAGCGTCTGAATGACTCTGTCTTCTCATTCAGACGCTGTCTTCTCGACAGACCTGTTCTCCACCTGAGGACGGCTGCTTGCGTTGTGGCCGAAACGTCGTGAGAATTGAATTTTATTATGTTTTATTTTTATTATTTTATTATTTCCATTCTACGTGACTTTACCGTAAGAACCAAGAAGGTGAATCCCTGCAGTCACGAAAGCTTTAAATCGAAACATCCTAGTCGTCGTCGGTTCTCCAACTCGAGCCAACTGGTCCGTAGGGCAACGTGCCGCGCTAACCGCTGTGCCACCGCTCCAGCCCGCTTCTCACGTCTCGTTGTTGCGGCGATCCCACCGCGCGCGTTGCACAAACACCAAACTCACCGCCTCCAGCTCTGCTTTCAGCGAGCCGAGTGTCTGCTCCACGCTCTCCGTGCTGCGCTGCAGCCGCAGTTTCTGTAACGTCAACACCGCGCTCGTCAATGGGTTGTGGTGTACAGCGTTGTAGTATGGCGCGTTTCTGCGTATCGCATTGTAGAACTCAATTGTAGTATAACGCATTGTAGCATACTGCATTCTGGTGTACTGCATTATGGTGTACTGCATCCTGGTGTACTGCATCGTATCGTGCTGCTTTGTAGCATACCACATTCTCGTCTACAGCATTGTGGCACACTGCATCGCAATGTACTGCGTTGCAGTGTACCGCACTGGAATAATGCCGTACCAAAGAATGCTGCTGCTCCCAATGCTGCTGCATTGACTCGAGGCTGCGTCGGATCGCCTCCATTTCGCTGCGTCGCTCGCAGATGCTCTCCTGCAGCTCCCTGTGCTCCGTCTGAGCACAGGCGTCGGCGGTACCACGTCAGAAAACAGCACACACACCGGCAAGTACGACACATGCACAACACACAGTACACACACCCGCAAGTACGACACATGCACAGCACACAGTACACACACCCGCAAGTACGACACATGCACAGCACACAGTACACACACCGGCAAGTACGACACATGCACAGCACACAGTACACACACCCGCAAGTACGACACATGCACAGCACACAGTACACACACCCGCAAGTACGACACATGCACAACACACAGTACACACACCGGCAAGTACGACACATGCACAGTACGCAGTACACACACCGACAAGTACGACACATGTACATCACACAGTACACACACCCGCAAGTACGACACAGCACACAACACACAGTACACACACCGGCAAGTACGACACAGCACACAACACACAGCACACCGCTAGCACGACCCACAGTGCGCACAGCACACAGCACACCAATAGCACGACCCACAGTGCGCACAGCACACAGCACACCGCTAGCACGACCCACAGTGTGCACATCACACAGTACACAGCTAGCATGGCGCACGGTACACATAGTACACAATCCTCAGCGAGCACGTTGCACACAGCACACCGCTAGCACGACGCACACCACGAGCACGGCGCGCACAGTGCAACGTCGACCGCTTCCCAATCCTCAGGGCCGTATTATCTAAAATCGGGACCGGGCTCTGGCTTCGACCGCTCGGTTGCTTTCAAAGACGCGCGAGCGGCTCAGCCAAGGCCTGGCTCAGGCTCAGCTCATGGCACGAGTAAGCGATTGCAGGGCTGCGCCCTTACCATAGCCGAGCGATGTCCACCAAGACTGCTCACCTGCAGCTTGGCGATGGCCTGCTTGCTGCCTTTCGACCCCTCCAGAATGCCGTCCAGCGAGCTCGCTTTCCCATGGATCTTTCAGACAAAGATGAAGATCTCTCGTTAAGACTCACACACCATTGGAGCCAAGTGCCGTCAGCGAGCACTTTGCTTAATAAATGACGTTTAAAGAAACATCGCATCCGTCAATAACACTGTGGTCTTAAAAGCATAAGTATATAGTGGACAACATCTCGGGCAGTGACCCTTCTTCATAGGACATGACTGGATAAGGTCGGGACAGCACAAGAAGGTGGATGGTGTGGCTGGCACCACTCCCTGCTGCTTTTGTCTTCCCAGTGCTGAGTACCCCCTTGCCATTCTGACGACGTGAGTGTACGTCATCGAAACGGAATAAGGAAAAAAAAACTAAAACAAGATATCATTATAGGTACGTCTTCAGGTTGGAAGATGTACCGAGGCTCCCACAAGGCCATGCGGGAGGGCGTGTGGCGCAGTTTGGCGCCAGCTATCGTAGAGTACGGTCGTGTCGCTACAGTTCTCTGCAGTGAGTAACAATGTCTTAAAAAACAACGGCGCTACGCCTCTCTAAATAAAGTTTAGGTTAACCGCTCGCACGTTCCGAGATTCAGCGGTGAACGGGATCCTATACCCTGCAACTTGCAGATGTCTCGGAACGGGATAGGGCTTAATAGACACCGCACCAGGTATTCAATTATAGCCGAATCAACCTTGGAGTTGCCCGAGATGAGTTCAGATGTCACCGATGGTGTGCGTTGCCGGGAAGTGAATGCAGGTCACCAGGATTTTCTGACAGTGCCTGAACCACTAGACCAAGCCCTCTCCTTCCCCCCCGCACGACACCCAGCCATTCACGACCGAGCGGTAGTAACGTCACCACGGCACTTGCAGTAGCATAGGTGCGCTTTGAGGGCATGTGAAGTGTCAAAGGCTCGCTGCCAGGATGTCACGATACAGACCCGGGTGTCATCGGTTAACCGAGATGATTGGCAGATGCATTTCTTGTGCTCCCAAGTGTGCGTCATCGCAGCCGATAGATGTACACACAAACACTACTCGGTCAATTCTATTTGGTTTGCAGACATCGTGTGAAATGGGGTCCCCCCCTCCCCCTGTCCAATATATCCCCCCCCCCACCACCCCCCCACCCCCCCCCCCCCGGTATCCCAGTGCTGGGGCCCCTCCAGCCTTGGGCCTCCGCGATGCATCTGCACTGCCCGCTGCTACCTGGATAGCTACGCCACAGCCCGCAAACCCCACCCCCTCACCTCTTTCCTCGCATTTGCGAGTCGCTCTGCCAGCTCGTGTTTCTCCTCCAGAACCGTCTTGACCGTCTGGATGTGTCGGGCCTCCCTCCCTGCGGCAACCCCCACCAGAAAACATTGGGTGGGGGGGGGTCCACCGATCGAACGCGAAACGAGGGTGGGAAAAACATAACGCAACGGCACGCATCTCGTAATTTGACTTGCACCTCTAAACCAAATTGTTTCAGAAGCAGCTGTGTGGCTCGGGCGGCGACGGACGCCCGTGCGTGCCGGGGCACCGAGATTTTGCGCTCGGATCCAAGCGACCGCTCGTGGATTAAAACACGTCCTCGGGTGCAGCAGGTTGATGATGGTCAATCACCGGTGACGACACAGAATAAATATAATCATTTTAATTTTGGTTGTCCGGTGAAGGTGGCCCCGCTATTAATAGCGTCAATCATCATCATCACCACCATCAAAGTCAGCCATGCTCGATCCACTGGTGGTTGAGGGCCAACCCCCCCCCCCCCCCCCCAAGCCGTTGCAATCTCTCACAGCCTCGACGGACTTAATTTTTACAATTTTGGAGAAGCAATACTTACGTAGATATCTTCTGTTTTGAAACTGTCAACAAAGAAAGAAAGCCAAAGTTAGTTCAGATCAGGCAACAAACATGCAACAACTGTCATTGGCGCTCCCAAGCATTTTCCGGTTGTACCGCGTGTGCTTCGGCACGCTGTCCGACATGTCTCTCAGCATGCACCGACATGGAAGGAGACTGCTGTGAAGGAAATCTACAGAAGACATTCACAGCTCAACCATTATGGATGTGTGAATGTGCTCGCGCGTTTTTGCGATTACTCCGTATCCCGCTAATTTCACAAATGTCACTTATGAGCTACGCTGCCTCAACCAAAATCATCACAGACACAATGCGTCTCTCAGGGCAAACTGACATTGGGCATGGTAGCCAAATGGCATTTCAAACTCTCCCGTACAACGCTGGGCATATTCAAAGCGATAAATAATGAGGTCACACTTTTTTTCATTGTGAGAATTAAGAGGGAATGTAATTATTAATCGGGTTTCTCGTGTACGCGTATATGTATGGTAAACTTCTTTCATAGCCAACCGTGCTAATCGGTGGTGCGGGGAGAAGCACGGTGTATATCACCGTTCACAATGAAATTGCCTCCAAGCGTCTTGTGAAATGTTTGTTTTCAAAATCAACAACCCGTTCATTGTGCCTTGTACACACTAAACACCCAAGTCTGTAGATCAGTGGTTCTTAACCTTTACTGCAGCCTTCCACCCCTTTGGTTATCAATCGTAAAAAAAATTGTATAATGTTAATAAACACATAGGTTTCATGAAAGTAGTTGCACTTATGTGCCCACGCTTAATTTGTGTTTCGATGATTTACCTTCGAAAAAAATCTGCCATGTCTCGCACCCCCACAAAGGGCATCTCCGACCCCCAGGGGGTGCACGTGTACCCCAGGTTAAGAACCACTGCTGTAGGGTATTAAAAAAAACAACCCCATGACTTTCTCTAAACTAGCCTACTTTGCACCGCAACTTCCAATTGAAGGTGCGTCGGCCAGGATGGGATGGAAGAGCAGAGAGGGTGGGGGGGGGCTACGTCCTACAACGTGCTGCTTTCGCACCACGTCTGGAACCCACCACGCAGATGAGCCTCCAGAGAAAGGCGAGTGAGAAGGCGATGCCCAGGCACAGTCCCGTGGCCACGACGTCCCAGGGCACGCCGTGGTAGCTGGGTCCGGGTCGCCACTCGGCCGGGAGCTGAGAAGCCACCTGCGGAGAACGCAGCATGAGGGAGTTGCTCGCAATTCACGGCAAGACCACTGGGTGATAGCTAGGACCAGGGATCCTCTTCCTATTCTTCCGTATGGATATTCAATGAGGAGCAACTGTCCACGTGAAATGTTGGAAGACGCGCGCGTCAGGCGCCAGTTTGCACAGAGACCCATAGACCTGTACATTTTAGTCTACGATGCTGCTGCCTTGATGTTGCCAGTAAGGCCTCAATGTGATTCGTCAATCACGTTGTGGCCTTAAAATGAAAAACACGTTACAGGCGAGGTTTTGGGAAATGGCGCCAGAGGGAGAGTGGATAAAAGAGTCGGAAGACTGCACTTGCTCATAATGTTAAAATGACTGCACTTGCTATCTTACGTTTCTTATTTTATATTTATAGAGCGCCTTAGCTCAAGGAACTTATACCACAGCGCATGATGAGAAATACAGTTTTACAAAATGTTTTATCATGACCAGTTTTTAAACTGCCCCATGCAGTGATCCACAGACTCACAATGTGATTGCACTGTCTACTCCAGTGCAATCACAGTCACATTTGTGTGATTCTATAATTTTACATCTGTAGAAAAGGTGACTGCAGCTGCCATGGTGAGTTTGATTTTCATTTAAGTTATCCCATCGCTTGTGGGGAAGTGACCTTTATGGTGGCTCGGGAAAAACAGGGCTAATAGCTCGCTCAACATTATTTACCAGATCGTATTCAGAGACTGACCCATAAACCTGCGAGACACTGATGCTGACAGGCACTGCATATGATGTACAGGTCTGCTGTGCAATGCAATGACTGCCTGGGGGAGCCGTTGCGTGCGCTTGGATTTAGGTTTTTGGAGTGAGGTCACTGAACGGCCACCGATGGATCTGTGAGGAGCGTGTCGAGGGCTGTCGTTATAAAAAACAAGGTGATCAGGGGTGTCAAGCTCACCATTCCAAGCAGCGATCCCAGTGACGGAAGGACACAGGCCCTGACGTAGAGGAAGGCAGAATCCATTCGCAGGATGAGATCCGGCAACGTGCCGTTTTTGTCCGACGGGAGCCAGGAAAATTTGTCTGCAGCAAAGAAAATGTCCGATCGCTTAATAAAAAACTCTACAAGAACACCACAGCCTTATCTCAAACTCTATGGCAATAACAGTGCAGATTCGCTTCATAAAAATGGTGGCAGCTGCAGCTCCTTTGGGAGTAGGGCCGGCTCTGCTTGCATCCGAAGTTTCCAACTCACGGACACTTAAGAACTCAGTTTAATCATCGATGAATGCCAAGAGGCTCGACACCAACCTCCGAGCCATCCACCTCGGTTGGAAATTAGCTTGAATGCATACTTTAAATATTGCATCAGTTAACACAACTGACACGAAAAATATCAAGAGTATGGTTTAATTTGGATTCAGTGTGCAAATGTATAGCGATACTTTATGGCAACATAAAATGTTCATAATATTGCAATGGGTTCAAGCTAATGAATATCCATATATATATTCCTGCATTAAAGTATTTACCAAATATCGGGCCAGATTTTCATCTTGATGATTGATCCTTTTTCTAGGATTTTTTTATGGAAATACACCGATGGAAACATCCGCGCGTTTTCCAAATGGACCAACTTTCCAAACGTCTTGGCCGTTTTGTCAAAATGGCGATGTGACCCTAGATTATTCAGGGATGAGGGAGCTCCCACTGTGCCAAGACTGATGGGAAGATGTGAGAGAAGACAGAATTGTTTTGATTGAATAGAACAGAAAATACGTTATGGGGAACTGAGATTAAAGGTCAGCAACTCTCGTGCGTGCTGCGTCATCTCACCTTGAACCACTTTAACCTTGACCTTTGCCCCCGGAGCTATGGGTACACTCTCCATGCTCATGGAGAAACGCTTCCTCATGGCGAAGACGACATCCTGCACGTCATTGAAAACCTCCACCCGCTCCTCGTACGCCTCCTCAGACTCCTCCTCCTCTTCCTCCAGGTCCTGTCCCTCTTCGGCCTCCTCATGCTGCTTGCCGATATCTTCCAGTACCTCCTGGAGCCACTGCAGGACCCTGCCCTCGTGCCTGTCCATCACAGAGTCCAGGCTCTTCTCGACGTCCTCCATCGTGCCCTCTGCCCTCATCTTGCTGTCGGCGAGATCCCCTTCGAACGCACGCAGCCGGTCCTCCAGCGCGCTCAGCTTTGTCTCCCTGAGAATCCGGCGCAAGCGAGACTGGCGCTCCTCGCTCAAGTAATCCTCCACCACTGTCTGCTCAAACTCGGGCGGGCCGTCATCTGGTTTTGGGGATGGACCTTCAGACTCATCGTTTTCAGAGTCGGAGTTACCCGTGGGCACTCTCCTCTTCTCGTCAGCATGGGCATCATCTACGTCTAGCAGGGTTTCAATTTCTTCCTTTATAATATTATCTTTTGCAGACACGTTTTGTTCATTTCCCAGATCCGTCTGTTCCAGAACATCTGGGTATACTTCATCTTCTGCAGTTGTAATTTGTGAGATATTCTCATCACTTCTGGAATGATCAGTTTTGAGGTAGATATCATCACCTACTTCAAATGCAAGGGCATTTTCATCTTCAAGGAGTTCAGTCTCCGATAGGTCATCCATTTCATTTGTCATGTTATCATCTACACGATGACTATCACTCTCATCGTCATCATAAAGTTCTTCATCGAAATCATTTAGTGGGTCATCGCTTTCAACGTCACCATCGTCATTACTTGCATTACCGATTTGTTTATGATCCTCTGCAACGTTAACCGAAGAAGATACATCTGCTTTAACTTCCTCATCTTCAGGGGCCTCTAGTTTATCCTCATCTTCCTCCTCTTTTTCTTCCTCCTCTTCCACAGGCTTTTGATCCTCCTGTTCCTCATCATCCAAATAATATAATTCTTCATCAGCCGGTTCAGGATCCGTCTCTTCTTCCTCTAGTTCCCCAGTATCCTCAAAATCTTCATCATCGTTCAACTCTACTCGTCCTTTGAGATCTTTCTTTTTGAGTTTGTCCACTTCCTCTTTATCCACCTGCTCCTCCTCCTCCTCCTGAGGCTCCTCATTATCTTCCTCATCACGAGCAAGATCCTCACTTTTTACCACATTTTCATTTCCCTGCTCGGCGAGCATCTCTAGATCCGCCTTGTTTGCCAATTGTTCCATTTTCAAATCTTCTCTTATTTTAACATCTAAAGTAGACTGCTTTATAGGCACATCTTTTTCCGACAACCCCTCTTTTCCCGACAGATCCTCTTCATGGTCGGCGTTTTTCTCCAGTTGTGTCTCCTTTATCCCTGCCCCGTGCTTGCTTTGAGAGATACTCACCTTAATACGTTCCTTTGTCACAACGGTCTGCTCAGCTTCATCGTTTGCATCACCATCATCTAAATCCTCTGTATCCTTCAAGTCGTCATCCACCTGGTACCAGGCGTTCTCCAGCTCAGAATCTAGCTGAGACTTTTCTTTTTGTATGGCTACATCACCTTTAAAGTCAGCAGGTGACACTTGAACATCAACAGCCAAGGCTCTCTTCATTGTTAAACGCACCCTGGCTGCGGCTTCCTGAATCTCAATATCTTGAGCTACATCCTTCTTTTGCAGTGTGCCTGCTACATCATCTTCATGACTGTCATTTCCTTCGGTAACTTTCTCTGTGGCAGAGGGCTTAGTTTTGTCTAAAATTTCTTTCAACTTCGGTGCAATATCCTTTTCCCCATGGTCGTTAAGTTCCAAGGGTTTCTTGACAACATTTAAATCCATCTGAACTTTAGCCTCACGTATTCCAAGATATTCAGAATTGAGCGCATCATGTAGCCTCTCGTCTTCCTCTGCAATTGCCTTGTTTATTGCTAAGATTAACTTCCCTTTAGCTTCGCTTATCTCATTTTTACCCTCCGCATACTTGTTTTGTTTCTCTCGCTCAAGCATTCCACTCTGCTCTTCTCCGGCAGTTGGTTTAGCTACGTCTGAATTTGCCTCCTTCTCAGGTTCCACATTCACATCTTTTCCCTCCCGGTCGTTAAGATCAAAGCGTTTCTTGTTGACATTTAAATCCATCTCGGCTTTAGCGTCACGTATCTCGAGATATTCAGAATTGAGTGCATCATGTAGCCTGTCATCTTCCCCCGAAATCCCCTTATTTACTGCTAAAATTAACTTCTCTTTTGCTTTACTGATCTCATTTTCACCCTCCGCATAGTTGCTTAGTTTCTCCCGCTCAAGCATTCCACTCTGCTCATCTGCAGCAGTTGGTTTAGCCGCGTCTGAATCCTCCTCCTCAGGTTCCATATTCACTTCTTTTTCCTCCTGGCCGTCGAGTCCAAGTGTTTCTTGTTGACATTTAAATCCATCTCGGCTTTAGCGTCACGCATCTCAAGATATTCAGAATTTAGCGCATCATGTAGCCTCTCATCTTCCCCTGAAATCCCCTTGTTTACTGCTAAAATTAACTTGTCTTTTGCTTTACTGATCTCATTTTCATGCTCCGCATAGTTTACTTTCTGTCGTTTAGGCATTCCACTTTGCACTTCTGTGACAGTGGGTTTAGCCACGTCTGAATTGTCCTCCTCAGGTTCCACATTCGCATCTTTTTCCTCCCGGTCGTCGAGTTCCAAGCGTTTCTTGTTGACATTTACATCCATCTCGGCTTTAGCGTCACGCATCTCCAGATATTCAGAATTGAGTGCATCATGTAGCCTCTCGTCTTCCCCTGAAATTGCCTTATTTATTGTATAAACCAACTTGTCTTTTGCTTCACCAATCTCATTTTCACCTCCTACAAAATTGTTTACTTTCTGTCGCTCAAGCATTCCACTCTGCTCTTCTCCGGCAGTTGGTTTAGCCACGTCTGAATTTGCCTCCTTCTCAGGTTCCACATTCGCATCTTTTCCCTCCCGGTCGTTAAGATCAAAGCGTTTCTTGTTGACATTTAAATCCATCTCGGCTTTAGCGTCACGCATCTCAAGATATTCATAATTTAGCGCATCATGTAGCCTCTCATCTTCCCCTGAAATCCCCTTGTTTACTGCTAAAATTAACTTGTCTTTTGCTTCATTGATATCATTCTCATCCTCCGCATAGTTTACTTTCTGTCGTTTAAGCATTCCACTTTGCACTTCTGTGACAGTTGGTTTAGCCCCGTCTGAATTTCCCTCCTCAAGTTCCACATTCACATCTTTTTCCTCCCGGTCAACGAGTTCAAAGCGTTTCTTGTTAACATTTACATCCATCTCGGCTTTAGCGTCACGCATCTCGAGATATTCAGAATTGAGTGCATCATGTAGCTTCTCATCTTCGCCTGCAATTCCCTTGTTTATTGCTAAAATTAACTTCCCTTTAGCTTCACTTATCTCATTTTCACCTACTGCAAAGTTGTTTATTTTCAGTCTCTCAAGCATTCCACTCTGATCTTCTCCGGCAGTTGGTTTAGCCACGTCTGAATTTGCCTCCTTCTCAGGTTCCACATTCGCATCTTTTCCATCCCGGTCGTTAAGATCTAAGCGTTTCTTATTTGCATTTAAATCCACCTCAGCTTTAGTGTCACGCATCTCCAGATATTCAGAATTGAGTGCATCATGTAGCTTCTCATCTTTCCCTGCAATTCCCTCATTTACTGCTAAAATTAACTTTTCTTTTGCTTTACTGATCTCATTTTCACCCTCCGCATAGTTGCTTAGTTTCTCCTGCTCAAGCATTCCATTCTTCTCATCTGCGACAGTGGGTTTAGCAACATATGAATTTTCGTTCTTGTCAGGTTCCATATTCGCATCTTTTTCCTCCTGGTCGTCGAGTTCCAAGTGTTTCTTACTGACATTTAAATCCATCTCAGCTTTAGTGTCACGCATCTCAAGATATTCAGAATTGAGTGCATCATGTAGCTTCTTATCTTTCCCTGCAATTCCCTCATTTACTGCTAAAATTAACTTTTCTTTTGCTTTACTGATCTCATTTTCACCCTCCGCATAGTTGCTTAGTTTCTCCTGCTCAAGCATTCCATTCTTCTCATCTGCGACAGTAGATTTAGCAACATATGAATTTTCGTTATTCTCAGGTTCCACATTCGCATCTTTTCCCTCCCGGTCGTCGAGTTCCAACCGTTTTTTGTTGACATTTACATCCATCTCGGATTTCACATCACGTATCTCCAGATATTCGGATTTGAGCGCTTCATTTAGCTTCTCATCTTCCCCTGCAATTACCTTGTTTATTGCTAAGATTAACTTCCCTTTAGCTTCACTTATCTCATTTTCACTCTCCGCATACTTGTTTTGTTTCTCTCGCTCAAGCATTCCACTCTCCTTCGGTCCCTCTTTCTCTGTGTCTACCACGGCCTTTGCATCTTCCTCTGTCAAAGAAGCGTTGTTCTTTCTAATGTTATCTTTATCTAGGTCATCATTTTTACTGACATCTTTCAACAAATGTGCAGTCTCATTTATTTTCTCCAATTCTTCCGATCCAAGAGCTGCCTCTTTCAAATCTTCATTTAATTTGACATCTTCCACAATCTTCACTTCTGGGTTCATAAGTGTATGGTGACCATGTGAGGCTTCAGCAATTACACCATTGTTACCAACGAGAGCATTCTTGAACTCCAAGTTTATTTTGGAGACTGCGTCCATTATTTCTGAATCTTCCTTACCCAACACTTTCGTGAGCCCTTCATCTCCCTCAGTCAATGCCTTTTTCAGCTCGAAAATTAGCTGAGATTTGGCTTCCTTTATCAGTAACTGCTCCTCATCCTGAGAATAAATTAAGCCCGCAATACCCTTGTCCATGTCCTTCACATCAGAGTGTTGTTCATTGGCGGCTTCATTTCTCTTTGTGACTATTCCCTGGGGGTCCACATCTTCCTTGACCGGCTCTTTGGAAACCTCAGACACTTTTTCACGAAGCTCTTTATGCAAAGGATCTGTATGGATCAAACTCTGGTAAGCATCATCATTTGACACCTCTTTGTCGATAATCTTCGCTTGTTTGGTTGACATTATCTCCGACTCATCCATTGCTTGCCCTTTCTTCTCATTGTTTTCTTCTTGTGTTCCATTTGTATCAACCGTCTCTTTCATAGGCTCCATAGAGCCTGTTGGTGTTTTACTTTCAGCATCTATCGTATTCAGATTTTCTTCGATTGAATTGACCTTTACTAAATTTGTGTAATCTTTTTTCTCCACTTTCAGACTCCTCTCCATCGACACACCTCTTAAATCGTCACGCTTTTCCATTCCTCCTTTGGACTCGGTTAATTCTTCATTTGGGCTCTTCATCTTTGAATCCATCGCAGCTCTAGATTCTTTCAACTCCATATACTTCTTGTCAAGGGCAGTCTTTAGCTGTACATTACCGTCGGCCAACGCTTTGCTGATCTCGACATTAACGTTGGCGACTGCGTCCTCGATCGCCAAGCGTTCTGCATGCAGTTTCTCATTTACTTGTTCAGTCATTTCGTTTTTGGTCACATCTTCTTTGGTCGTTAGATCTCCCATCGGAACTTTATTTCCCTCAGCCAATTTGCTCTCCGCTTTTGCATGCTGCCTGTTCAGAGGTGTGAAGGTTTCAGTTGTTTCCCTCATTGAGCCCTGGAGTGGCTCATCTTCTGCTAATGGTTTAACATCATCACCGCTTTCTTTGAACAAAGGATTGATCTCCTTAAAATACCCCATTTCTTTACCATTTCCAATGGTGGCTTCCACCAAAGAATCCACCTCACCTTTGTTAAGCTTCTCTAAATGCACATCATCTCCAATTTTATTTTCCTCAAAGGTGTCCCCGACTACAGCTCTAACATCTCCATCCAGGCTTTTGCTCACGTTTAATGTAATGTTTTCAATATTCTCATCCACCTCCAAGTTATTTTCCAAAGTTGTTCTCTGCACCACTTTCTCCGAGGTAGCATCCAGTTTATTTACATCTATAGGCACCAGAGATTCTTTATCTTTCTTGTCAACTACACCCAGACCCTTATCCACATTTAATGTAGCGTTTCCAATATCCTTACCCATCTCCAAGTTATTTTCCAAAGTTGTATTCTGTTCCATCTTCTCTGAGGTAGCATCAATTTTATTTAAATCTAAAGTCGTCGGAATGTCTATGGCTTTCTTGTCATCTACAACCATGGCTTCCACCTTAAGATCAGAAGCCTCTTCATCACTTTTCACTCCTGCATGAAGATCCTTTCCCTGCTCATCACGTTGATCAACTACCTCCTTCATTCCTGACTCCATTGGCATAGGAGTCTCTATCGACAACTTATTTGCATCGCTGGCCTCTCCTTCTTCCAGTTCGAGATCTCCATCTTTCCTTTGTGATGGTGCATTGGCTTCCATAAGCAGAGACGCATTCACTGCTTGAGAATCACCAACACGGTCCTCCTGCTTGCCCTCCGCGTTCACATCTTGCACTAGTTCTTTTGGCTCCATTAGCTTTTCCTGCATCTCTGGTAACTTGCCCGTCTCCTCAATGGCCGCCTCTGATATATTGGTCACCGGATATTCCACCAGATGTTCCAAGTTAACATCCACATTCAGGTCCACTTTCTCAACATCTTGTGAGGAGGCTTGCAATTGTGGTTCTGTTCTCTCCACTTGGGACGTGACCTCTGACCCTCCCTCTTTGTCCTTTGCCGAGTTACTGGAGGCTGTTAGCACCATTAGCTCTTCAGCTGCTGGTTCCACGCTCCGCTTTCCAAGAGCCTTCTTGGTCTCCACATTACTGTCAAATTCAAGGGTGCCATCCTTCATTCGATCTTTATTCATCACCTTCTCAGCCACATCCTTGTTCTCCAAGATCACCTCGGACTTATCGTTTACAGGTTCGTATTTTACTCCTGCATGAGGCTTATCATTGATTTCAGATCCATTGTCCTTCAGTTGTGCTGCTTTTTCCACATCAAAGTGCTGAGTGTTTATTGATGAGGCCTCGGCAACAACGTTTGTTTCCAATTCGGGGCTTATATTCAAAAGTTCTGTAACATCGTGAACCTCGCCTGCAAACTTATTGCCACCTATGTCCCTTTCCAAATTGGAACCAGATGATTTATGGTGGCGATCACCTGGCATTTCTTTCAAAGGAAATTGTAAAATGTCCTCATCGCCATCACGGTTTCGATTTACGGAATCTAAGTCTTTGGTCACAACGCCATCATCTGTGCTTTTCAGCTCAGGGTTGAGAGCATTTCCAGATATTGTAAATTTAACAAGGTAAGCTGCTTCACTGGAAGTTGCATCATCTTTGCCTGCCACTACCAAATGTGACTTTGCTTCTGCGTCCGAGTCGTCAGAATCATCTGGTGAGGATTTGAACTTGGAAGCTTTTTGTTGCACATCACTGCCAAATATGTGTTTGTCCCACTTTACAGGCTTCACGTAATTCTCACCATCAGCTAACAAGTCTGTCGCCTGTGCAGTGACATTGACACTGCCTACCTGATCTTTGACAGTGTCCATCAATTCAGTGTCGAGCAGTTCGCTGGGCTTAGCTTTGGAGATTTGCTCTGTTAGACGGATCTGCCGCTCTGGAAGGTCATTTTGAGCATTTTCTACAAATGTATTCTCATCCTCATGAGTCTCCATGTGAATCAAATCATCTTCTTCGGATTCCAATGTGTCTTTTCCAATGTCCGTTGAAGGCAAGGGAAGTGGGATTTCATTTTGGAGAGGTCTTTCATTATCTTCCCTGGCAATTCCGTCACCCTGATTTTTAGTGAACATTTCTGCAGCCTCATCATTACGAGCAGGTTTAGGCCTCCTGAGGTCATTACCACCTTCGATGTCCCCAGCATCTGATGATGCTTCTGTTGAGACTTGGTCTCTGTCATTGCCACCAGAATCCTGCCCGTCTGTGACTGCCGTTCCAACAATTATTTTGGGGGAATCAACATTTTTATCTTTCCCCTCTTTAATTTCTTCCGAAACAGGATCCGTTTTTAAAGTTTGTTCCTCGGCATTCGCAATGTTGAATTTAGCAAGAAATATGTCTTCTTGAGAAAATGTATCACGGCCGTGTGTCATTGTCGAGTCAGACACTGCTGGCGAATCTTTTAATTTTGCTCTGCTCCGTTTCACCTCCCCAGTCAATACATGTCCATCCGATGTGGCTAAGTCTTTATATTCTTCCCCTTCATTCAATGCGTGTGTGACCTGCTCTGTCACTTCTCGCTCATTTGTCACATGTTCGTCATGTTTCACCAACTCGGTCGGGAGCTGTTCAACGAAACTGACCGCCGAGACTTGTTCCGTTAATAGGATCTGCAGCTCTGGCAGGTCGCTTGAGGCATCGTCTTCAGGAGTCATTTCATCTTCGTAACTCTCGATGCTAAACAAGTTATCTTCTTTCAATGCAAGTGCATCTACATCCTTTTGAATTGCATATGAGTTTGATACAGATGTGGCTTCCCTTGGGGATTCCACATTTAAGGTTCCTTGTCCGATTTCAGAATGTTTTGCTGTAAACAAAGCTGCGTCAACTTCAGGATCGCTAGCGATTTCAGAATCATTTTTTTCTTCACTGGCTTTAGGATGAGAGGCTAAGACTGGTAAGGGCTTCCCATCACCGTCAACGTTAGACGGCTGTCCCTGTGGTGTTACCACTCTTCCATCTCCTTCAGGGGACTTCATGTTGCTATCTTTTTCAGTCCTTGTATCTCTGCTCACCTGGTGTTCTTTTGAAATATTTTCTTCTTCATTTGGTACTGTAGGCATTTGGTTTTCTGAACCGCTAGCTTTAACTTGAGGTAAAGTGGGCTCCACATCTCCCGTGTGGAGATCATCATTTCCATGACTTTCATCATCAGATGTTTTTGCGTTCTGATGACTGGATGGTAGGCACATGAAATCTGTAAACTGCAACGGATAACTTGAATTAATGTACTACAAATCACTTAAAATTTTTTTCAAAATAGTCGGCATTAGTCCATGAATCATTGCAAAACGTAGGTAGTAATAATGTCTTTATAGTACCAATACATTAATAATCGTTAATAATTAATTAATAACGTAATCCCTTTGTTAAACCATTGCTAAAAGTCTCCCCCTCCCGACATCATGTCGGTCCTGAGTGTTGTTTGACCATACTTCACCACCTGGTCAGTAAGGACCATACCTTACCAAGCTCGTTAGGAAGGACTGATGAGGGGGAGGTACCAGGGATGGATTCTGATATTACTCACCACAGAAGTTACTCATGGCTGTGAATCTAACTCATCGGGTTCATAGCGCAGAGTTCTAACCACTGCACCAGCATTCACCTACAACTCCAATCATCCATCCCATGGTTTTATACATCAAAAAAAAACTTGCTTTACCACTGCAGATGGTACCAACTAATTACACATCTAGCTTGCAAGCTACTGACCATTTAATAACAGACAATCAAAGTGTAAGGATGTATTTGAATTTCTTAATCAATTACTTGTTACACAGAGGTACATGATCAACGGACAGAGACAATGGTCATGATGATTGCGCCTTTTAGCGTCATTTAAGGAGGTAGCAGTACAGAAAATAAGGTTTCTTCGTGGAATATTTGTGCTAGAGTTTAAGCATTATCCACACACATGAGTAAGTATCCACGTTTTCTATCGTATGCAATGGTACTTCATGTTGGAGAATTATACAAAATTCACAACAGGACGTTCCCAAGTCTTTGAACAGAAGGTATTTGGTAGTTTCCACAGGTGGGTAAGGAACACGTACATACACACTCACACCATTATAACCGTTTCAAGTAAAGAAATGTTTGTTACCTTGGTGGGTTTCTTAATTTCTTTGGCCGATGGCTCTTTAAAAATAACCTTCACAGCATCTTTAGGAAAATATCCAAACTGCAATCCGGCCTGGAAAACACAAAAAAGCGTATCGCTGGGCAAACCCCTAAAGGTACAATAGATGCCATCACGAGTGCCTGAGCAAGACGGATTGGATCGCCGGTACCGAGGCTTTCTAAACTCCAGTGCAAGGCAATCCCCCACACAGTCCAGATTTTTTTAAATATTTCATATCTTTGTATTTTGAGCGAAACGTCGTCAAATGACGATGCTGAAATCAGTCGTGAATAGTCTAAAGCCACCAACGAGGAGACTTTTTTGGGTCAGAATTTGACCAACGCGTTGGCATGTACAGATGTTTATAAACGTGACCATCTGTGTCAGGTGGTGGAGGGTAAATTACACGAATTTTGTCATAAAACTATCGAGCCTAAAATAAATAAATAAAGCATCTTAGGGTGGAACATCTCGTTCACAAGTATCCAGGGTATGCAAATATTTTAACTAGTTCCTAACGCCTGTCTTCGCCAGGCAAAAGTTTTCAATAAATATAATAATTAACCTGATATGATTTTTGACAATTTTATCTACGATCAGACCACTAACAACTACTCCAAAATAAAACATTTCCGTGAAAAAACTAAAATTGTTGACGTTTCAATTCGACTTTAAAGACGTATCCGTCAGAAAACGCTCAATTTAAAGACTCCATAATTTTTTCACTAGAAAGAACAAACATTTATTAACTTAATACTCTATGAGGGAAAGCTTTCCTATCTTTTACCGTTTTTTGAAATATTCAGATTTGAACACAATAAAATGTGTATTTTTTTTCGTTCAAACCTGCTTGAACCATACATTTCAAAAAAGCAATAAATTACAAAAAATATTCTCGATTTCATTTTATTTGCTGATTAACGCTTTATCAAAAGAAAACCCGCAATATTATATTTTGAACGGTTTCTGAATGACACGCACAAAATGTTCATGGGGCACTTAAAATCGAAATTTGGGGGCTTCAAAATAAAAAATTCTCAGATTTTCTAATTTGCCCTGTTGTTTGTATCCTAAAAGCTACCCAAGTACCAAACTTTAGCATTCTACCTTGTCGGGAAGTACCCGATAGGCTTTCGGGACATACAGATTAAGGTCTTCATTTATATACATAGATGCATTTCTACTAATCATCACCAGATGTGCAGGAAGTGCCTGCTTGCACATGGCGTGCATGTTGGCCACGTTTGTGTCTTACCCTCTATGAGCCTGTTGGGGTGTTCGCTTGTCCGCGTGTTAGCTTGTTTGAGTGCTCGCACGTGTTGGCGTATGTACATCTGGGGGGGGGTGTTTGCAAGTCTGTGTGTAAACACGTATTGGTTTGTGCGTGTCGGCTCGTCTTTCTTGGCTTGTGTGTGTTGGCAGGTGTGTGTGCATGTGTTAGCGTGTCTGTGTTAGCATTTGTTGGCTTGTGTATATATTGGTGTGTGTGTGTTGACGTGTGTGTGTGTATTGGTGTGTGTGTGCTGGTGTGCGCGTGCATGTTGGTTCATCTATGCGTCAGCGCGTGTTGCGCGATATACGTGTTGGCGTGTCTGTTAGCAAGTGTTAAATTGCGTACGTGTTGGAGCGCGTGTGTGTGCACGCGTTGCCGTGTGTGTGCATGCACGTGTTGGCGTACCGATCCGGCCCACAGGTCGTCCCTCCGGCCGGCCAGCATGTGGTAGACGTAGAGCACGTCCCCCGTACGGAAGCTCACAAAGTGGCAGTCGGGTGCGTCGTAGTCGCGCACTGCCTCCACCTTGTAGAGCCACACTGCAGCCACGGGGAGGCCACAGGGAGGGTATGAGCATGGGCACGGGCATGGGGCAAGGGCATGGGGCAAGGGCATGGGGCACGGGACATGGGGCATGGGGCACGGGCATGGGGCACGGGCATGGGGCACGGGCACGGGCATGGGGCACGGGCAAGGGGCACAGGCATGGGGCACGGGACGTGGGCACACTCCAAAACAGACCGAGCAACTGGAGCAGCCCAGTGCTAGCTATACACATACAAAATTTCAGATAACAGCGATTTCCTGCTGAAATGGGCATTGAGGTAGTGCTGATCTCTTGTGGACCAAACCTGAGCCAGCAGTGGAAATTCCCTGTTCTTATTGGCGGGGCCAAATCTATGATATCTAAAAAAGGTAACTATGTTATCGACCCCGGAGAGATGGTGGGTTGAGCCAACCCCCCCCCCCAACCAGGATTTAAACTTGTGACCTCGCTCAACCCCGCTGAGCCACCTCGACAATCCACGACTTCACCAAGAGCATTTGTCCTCGTGCTAGTCGACAGTGACATCACGATGCATCGCGCCATCTCGTGTGGCTCCAAGCGTAATGCTATTTGGGCGCTAATAAAATAATTTCGAGGGCAGCTGCAAGTTGCAAAGCGTTTCTCATGGGGGCTAAATCGATTCCCGTGGTGTTTTTCGCCAAGCCGCACGGTCCTCTGCTGCCCACCTCGTAACCGCCACAGCCTATAAACAAACCTGTAATGCATGACGGTGCATCAACGTCACTCTTTGGGGCTAGAAAAAGGTTGCACACACAGGAAGACAACCTGACGATGCAGACAGCGATGAGCAGGAAACTGGCACTATACGGACACGTATGTGGGATGGACAACAAGAGGACATTTTTTTCAAGCGTTGCTGTTCGGAAAATGGAACGCACCAGAAAGAGAGGAAGACCAAACTGAGAATGGCTTCTTGACGACGACATCGCAAGAGATTGGTGACAGCGTATTGGCACAAGGATCGTGGAAACAAATAAAAAAAACGTGCAGTGAGACACCAACTACGGGTTACCTGCCCATGGATCGTAATGATGATGAATGCATGACGGTCGCTCACCCAATCACTAACCAGCTTCAGATGGATGAGATCGGGTGCATTACGTGTGATGTGGCCATAGCGTTAGTTTAACAATGCCTAATAGTGTACAAAAGAAGAAGAGAAAAAATCAGTCTCTGCCAGCTGTGCACACAAACGAAGGAATGTGTGTGTACTTCAAGTGTACCGCTTCAACCTTCCTATCTATCCAGCCATTGGCATATCCGCTTGAGTGAGATAAGGCAATATTTGTACAGTATAAAGTGCGTCAATAAACACAATCAGCAGCTGCACTTTGGAAAAGCACACACTGGATGTGTAAAAGCGGCCGTTATTGATGTTGGCAACAAGACTGCACATCAAGAGCACGATAAAAACAGCACCAGTTTGTGCGATACAGGAGAAATTGCGGCAGACCAAAAAATAAAACAAACCACTCGTCCAATTTCCGTCTGCTTTAATTTTCGCTGCCGCGGTGGAATGGCTTGCACACAATCCAAAGGTCGCCGGATTGTTCTCACGGCACCACTGCCCAGCGGCAATCTACGTGGATGCACCGTTACACGGTGAATGAGGGTCATCGCCACACGTATGGCGAGATGCCACGACTACGCTCCCGGGTGAGGCTTTCCCGGGGGTTAAACAGCGGAATAATGAAAAGTAATCATTTAAAAAAGCCACTCGTAACGAGCTGCGCAGGAGCAGAGGGCTCTCAGTTGCGGGCCTCCGGCATCTCGTCGCGGTGTGCTCGACACGGCCGCGCCAGCTGCTGCCGTTCGTCCTTTATATTTCATCGCTGGGAAGGAACCGATGAGAGGCCTCCCCCCCACCGACCCCCACCCCGAGTGGGCATGCAGGAAAAGTGATATCTGCGGAAACTAAAAACGGGCGATCGAGCGTTGGTCGGAACGCTCGCTGCCGAGATGGAAGTACAGTTTTAGAGCTACTCCATTCAAAGAGGTGGTAAAAGGCACTTTCATTTCTAGCCAGTAGTCAAGTGAAAGAGCTATAGCCATTGCTGCCAACACGCTCACATCGACAGCGCAACTTGTTCGGTAGCGCCGTATTCGAGGAAAACTTAAAGAGCCTTTTATCATTTCACTGCTGGATGAGGGCATTTCCGTACATTCTGGCCATGAAAGTTTGTTCGGCCATACATCACCTCTCTGGTCAGGGCAGGTAGGAGAAGGGGTGGCAGCGTGCCAGGACAGGTTGACATATCTCATGCCACAGGTGTTATAGCCGTGGCCGGGAATCAACACCTGGTTGTTAGGTTCATAGTGCACTGCGCCAACCCCTGCACCACCGTATTAAGAGTATATATACGTGATGTATTGTGTGTGGAAAGCAATCTTGTACACAATGGTTGGGAATTAACTGAAGACACGCATGTTCAGGCCACCCACCCCCTCGTGTGTGCCCTGCCGGCCTTCATAGGTGCTCGCTCACAGCACGTGTCCCTACAGTCGGTCAAGGCTATTCTCGGGGGACCTTTGTGCCTGTCTTGTGTATAATTAGACAGGCATTTATATAGCAATAATACAGAGGCAAATACTGGACTCTCAATGTTTCATAGAATGTCTACTAAATAAACATGAGAGAATCGGTGATTGGAATTGTCAATAGTTAACATCTCGCCACAGTGGCAAGATGTTAACTACCTTGCCTGGTATGCAGGTGGTCGTGGGTTCAATCCTGACCTTGACACCTGTATATTTGGAATGTTCTCCCCGTGGTTGTGTGGATTTTTCTCCGGGTCCTCCGGTTTTTCCCTTCACATTTAGAATCAACATCACGCATTTAGACTATTTGGCCACTTCGTTGAGCTATTATTTGTCCTGGATTTGAAGTTTTCGTGACTGCAAGGATCCATACGCTTTGGTTCTTTCGGTAGACCACGTAGGTGAAAATAAAAAAGTGAAAATAATTTTTCTTTTTTTAAATTTATTTTTATTTTTCATCTACGTAACTTTAACGAAATAACCAAAGACTATTATTTGTCGCCAGGCCGTTTCTGACAAAGAGCTATTTACCTGCTAAAATAAAAATAGTTTTAGCTCTTATAGTTTTGAAAAAACAAGAATAGGGTTTGCCCTTTCTGGCAATAAAACAGGTGTTAAGATGTTAAAACACCAAATCGAATTTTTTTTTCAAGGAATCACGTCTGCATTAACCACGCGTACTTGTGGTGAACATGCAAACAAAAACATGCTCTGATAATAGATGCATTGTCTTTGAAACTGATTGTCCGACACCAGAGACAGTCTTCTTTATGGCCTAGTCTCACCAGTGTCAGACCAGAGAACGCCAAAAGATGAACAGGACAAAGACAATGTAATAACAGGGCATTTATATACCTATGGTAAAACCTATTCTTATTTTTTCATACTTTGATACTGACAAAAGGTCCAATTTTATAGTTTTATTTGAACTTCAGTATTAAGTATTCTTATTCCCACACTCCCTCAGGCATAAACAAACAAGTTAATTAACTGTGGATCAAAGAACAAAAAACGCAGTGTACAGGTACGAAAAAATAGCACTGGAGGCGCATGCTAAAGGTTGTGAGTTTTTATTCAGTTCATTTAATTGAAGGTGACATGCAGCCTCCATGGAAATACTACAAGTAAATTGTACCGCCTAACACAGGCGTATGCTGACTCAGACTTTTTTTTATACAAATGACAGACGTTAAACTTTCAGACTCACGACAGAACAACGCCCTCGATCGAGGTATCGACGGGACTTAAATGAGTGCAGACCATTGCTCATCGCCTAAAGTGGAAGTGGTAAAAATTCAACGTTTCTGTGGCAAGGCCAAATGGAGAACCACAGTCATCGTTCTACAAAGTAGCACTCAAAGTACGTTGATAATCTCTCAAGTTGGAAACTTTATATGACTGAGCAAACGCGCAACTTAAACACACAGGCTGATATGCCAAATTCATTCTCACTTTAATTATTCACGTGAAAACCATAATGATTTAATTACAGCCCTTTGTCAATCCACTTCTGCATGAAGGTCTCCCCATACAGAGTGAGTCATATGGGGTTGCTTAACCATACTTCACCACGCTGGTCGGTGCAGGTTGGTGAAGGTGACACCCCAGGACTATTTTGAACAGCACTTGCCACCAGCCTTGTTAAAAATATCTAAACTAGGTTTTCGATACAGAAACTTTTTGGGTTTCTGTTCGCTCGATCACCCACATGAGACCAGTGTCAGTCATTCTTATTCCATTTCTAGAACGAATAATTGCTTTCTTAAACAAGTACCGTTGCCGTAACGAGGCAGGCACACTGGTAGAATTCGCTGCAATGTCCACATTTGTCAACCACTTCCACATCACCCACTCCACCCTGTGCACCCAGCCGTCACTCAAACGCCACGCAGCACAGAGGAGTGCGCTGTTCTCCCAGGTGCCAACGTGTCAGTCCCACCGTGGCACCACGCTGCAGGTGATGTCACACGCCTGGTGGAACCACACCTACGACGGTGACGCTTGAAAAATTTACCGATGCGGTTATTAAAAAAAATAGTCCACTCGAGCATTCCCCACAACAAGGCCACTGCACGGTAGCGTACTACTAACGCACACGCGCTGCACATGCACAGCCCTCTTGGCAAATCCACTGCTGGATGAGGGCCTCGCTACGCCGTGTGCGGGTCGAGGAAATGATATGTGACCGCACTTCATCACACCGGTCAGTACAGGTTGATTAAGGCAGAGAGCACAGCAGTGGTAGAATAGTGCAATACAATAATGGATTTTGTGGCACTGCCCGCAAGTGACAAGGTAGCCCCACAGGAGCCTATAACATCCCATCCCTGCTGGTAACGCATCCAAGCACAAACCAGGCTGAGGCATGCTTATCTTCCGATACGACGGGATATGGATGGTGCATTCCGAGTGATTTGCCTAGTAAGCCTACTA